AGCAAATGTTCCCCTCAATGAGGCCTATCAAAATGTATCCTTGCCCTGAAAAAAGAGCAATAAATCAGCAATCTACCTTTAATGTTAAAGTTAACATTGCAGGTACAAGTGTGCATTGCTGATTCATTGCTCATCATTCAGTGCAAGGAGACATTTCAGTAGGCATCATTGTGGGACACCTTGGCTTAGCTTTAAATGCCCTTATTATAGCCTAATTAGAAAACTTTTTATAGATCTTCAAAGTTTGAGGAACAATTTTAGCTATAAAAAGATATTACTTCATATGAAAAAAAAATTTGCACACTACTCAGATGAGAATGTGTAGGATTCATGGGAGCCACCATCTTTGAGACCATCAGCTGCAGCTCCCTCTGTAACCACTCAGTTCCTTTAGTCCTGGAATACAAGTGTTCATAAAGTTCCTCATGGCCAAAAATCTTGTACTTCGGAGAAGTGTGGGGATCATGGCATGTGTGACTAGTGAGAACAGGAGATGACCAGCATGTTCCCAGCTCCCACTCCCAGATTGTTAGCTGGGTGGTCACATAGTGGTGCGAGCTTATATTGATCAGAGGGCAAGGGTGGCAGGAGTAACTACAGCTGTAACCGGCTGTGGCAGCAGTAACTGCAGCTGTCACGACGAACCAGCTGTGGTAGCGCACACTTGCCTTAGCTCGTCGCTAGATAAGGGTCAAAACATGGAGTAGGATGATTTCTTCACATTGCGAGCTTCGCACGCAACCAGGAAATGTGGATTTACGTAAAAGACAATTTGAGGCGGAATAGGGAACTGAGGGGGGAAATGGTGTCATTTTTTGGATGATGTTCGTGAGATTGATGATGGAGTGGTTTTTTTCCCCGGCAGTAATTGACTTCTGATTGGTGATTTGCTGGAAATATTCAGCGTCAAGTTCGGTGTTGTTCCTTCGACTAAAAAAAAATTTTGGATGATTTTCGTGAGATTGATGATGGAGTGGTTTTTTTCCCCGGCAGTAATTGACTTCTGATTGGTGATTTGCTGGAAATATTCAGCGTCAAGTTCGGTGTTGTTCCTTCGACTAAAAAAAAAGTGATGATCAGCGTGAAAAAAATAGTGCCTCTGCGAATTTCCTTTTCGGTCCTGAAATTGACGAGAGTTTTCGAAAAAATCTTGAGTCAAACTGTGCTCCTTGGAATCGGATTTCCGAATACTGTCCTTGAATCTAATTCATATATAAAGTCGTTTGCTTATCACGAGATCATCATCAGTTTATCAGTACAGTATCTTCTGAGAATTATTATGTCGTTCTTTTATTGTACTGTAATTGCTTGACTTTCCGTTTGGGACTGGATTTAATGAAAAATATGTATCACTTGAAAAATCATTGTACCTTAAAATTTCCATTTCGTTAATCTATTTTCAAAGGTTGATCGAGCTCAATACTTGCTCACAGAATCTATATAAGAATGAAGATTGGCTTTCGCGATGCATACGCTCTGAATCCCGTTATTGATTCTCCCTCCAACTGCAATTTTTATTTGAAGTAATTAATTTAATGACTGAAGCGTCGCTATTTGCTTATTCTATATGTCTATAAACTCGCCTCGGATACTTCTTCGAATTCTGATTTGGCCAACGCGGAGTTTTCACCAAAATTTAGAGTCTATATGTGAGACAGCTTTTTCACGCTTCACGAAAAATTTTGCGAATTAAATATTCATTCCATCTCCTCGAAGGTTTATTAAAAGGCAGCATCTTCATATTGTGTACCATCTCTCAGCAGAGGGAAAGAAATCAGGGGAGAAAAAAACAAACAAACAAACGAAGTGATGTAGAGTCGTCGTGGAAATTGCGGTTTCTGCGCGCAATAAGACGTATTTTTAGCATGATCGTCACACGAGGGGAAAATCCCGGTCTGAAATAGAATTCCATTCTTTCTTGACGAGAGGCTCCCAATGGGCTCGGGCTGTTACCTGGGAATGCGTGAAGGAATCCCGGGTGTCTTCCAAGCAGGCAATGAAGCGGAGTCAAGTTAGCGCCGAGCCAAACTCAGGTTCGGGACAACTGAGAGCTGCCCAACTGAGCGAGTAAAAGGTTATTGAAATTTACACAGAGCTCAAAGAAAAACCTCGTTTATGTGTGAATGCAAATTTTTTTTTCAATTTTACGAAGGTGTTTGGTTGGCTTCAGCGCTCATTTTTCCGTTGCGCTCAAAGGAGTGAGGTCAGTCAGAAGGTTACGGCTTTGAATAAGAGAAATTTTTTTTAAATTAATTTTTGCACGATTCACAAAATGCTGGGCATAAACCAGAATGCCCTCAATTTTTAAACTTTTGAGGAAATCTGGATATTGAATCAAGTCCCAGGAGTTCACAAAATCTTGGGTGACCTTCTGTCTTCATTCAAGAACCCCCGGAAAATGTGATAAGGGTTCAAAGTTAAATTTTGAAGTTCTTGTTGAATTCTACATTTCTTTTGTCAGATGATTTCAAGAAAAAGAAAAAGTGAAAAACAATAATGTAGTCACTGCTGTATTACCAAAATATTTGCCAGAAGGAAAATATTTTTCCTGATGCGTTGACTGACATCTCCTTTAAATTTCCTGAAAATTAAAACGGTTAAATCTTGATACCAGGTAAAAAAAAAAAATGCTTTCACAAACATTCATAAAGCAGGTTTCACGTCGGTCATTATTCTGGGTGCGTTAACTGATTTGTTTTCCTATCTCTATAAGACGTTTGAGAACGTCTTATCCCTGAAAATATAGTCATTGTCAGCCATGAAAATTTTTAGTTTATTTTAAAATATAATATTTCCATAAATGATGAAAAACATGGGCTCTTCATGTTTGGTATTCGAATCACGTTCGACAGATTTATTCTCTCTTTTTTTCTTGCACGTTTGTGAACGTGTTGGCATGGAATTTAAGCCATCGTCGACATTTACATGTCCTTCAATTTTGAAATTTAAAACGGTTCTAACCGACAGTTCCGAAGTTTCTTCAATGACGGGTTGAAGTTTCCATAAAAGCGTGTTGAAGAAGAATCAAAAAGGCTCTTTCCTTCCTGGTTTTCACAGGACTTTTAGTATTTTCCTTCCTCTCATGCGTTTTTAAAATGGTTTTGATGACTTGAAAGAATCAAATTGAAATTTAAAATGGGTAGAAACCGACAACTTTTGTGCCTGTTTATTTTCTTGGCATCAGCTGCAAACACAAAATCATGAACGTCGTTTCATGCTTATTATTCAGTTATTCAGCGTTTGCCAGATTTTCTTGGCTTCTTTTCGCAGATTTGTTTGCACGCTTTCATCATCTGACTAAGGGCTTATACAAGCTTCAATATTGAAATTTAAAAAGGGTAAGAAGCATAAAATCCTGAAGTGCTGTCTCTATAGTTTTCGACATCAGTTGTAAATATTGCAATGACAAGTTTTTTTGTTATCTGTTGATCCGAGCACGTTCAATAGATTTGTTTTCCTTCGCAGTCGTTCACGAACTTATTCTCATGAATGGGAAGGATCATCAGTGTTCAAATATGCTTTGGATTTTAAACTTGAACATATCTGGTGATCTTTCGAAAAGTTTTAAGCTGAAGAAAATTGAATTTTTAAAAAGTTCGTCTCATGACTGTTGTTATCAGCGAGTTCGACTAAATATTCTTTGTTTCATGCCACTTTTTTGCAAACTTGAGCTCATGAATTTAAAACCTTGTCTGTTTTTTTAAATTATGAATTAATTATTTTGAAACTTGAAACATCTCACGGTTATGGCCTCCAGTAGGTGAAAACGAGGAATGAATATAGTCTGTCTCATGTGTGTCGTTTCGGAGCACGTTCAACTAACTGAAGGGTACGTGTTTTCTTTCTTCTCACGCGTATCGTGAACGTGTTGCCATCAAGCGAGCAGGTATATGTACGAGGGTTCTAGCAAAAGTTCTCGGAATAGAAATAAAAATGGCGTATAATCGAGCTGAAACAAAATTATTATTAGGAAAACACATTCTTTGGCACACAAAAAAAATCAGTCACGTTTGAAAACTTTTTTGGAATGTTTTTCAAAATTCACCCTGGCAAAGTTTTGCTCTCCATTCAAAAGATGAGGTGCCCTTCCTGCAGTTTTGTTGTTGTTGTTGTTTTAGCACAGCTTTCCCCTCAGAATTCTTTAAATCAATGTGGCATTAATTCCAAGGGTTGCCTCTGGGTCTTCCAAGGGAACTCTGCTATGAAGGTGCAAAAAGATGTGGAGGTTTGCCTCAAGGTGCAAAAAGGTTTGTCAAACAGGCCTGATTTTTTTTTGATGTGACAAAGAATATGTTCTCTCTAGAGAAAAAATTTTTCCAGCTGGATTATACACCATTTTCATTTCTATTCTGGGAACTTTTGTTAGAACCCTTGTAAGGGGGCCCTCACTTAATGATGGTAATCCATTCCAGGAGGACTGTCACAAACAAAACCCGTCATAAAACGGAACCTATTCCCCTTAGAGTTGCATTATAAAGCCATTAATCCATTATACCAAAAATAAATTTAACCAAACCTTAACTACAATACAATGATGTTTATGAAATAATGTACTTCAAATGTACCCTCAACAATGTTACAAATGTCAAGGACTTAGGTTATGTTAAGAAAGATGTAGAGGGAGGGCCAAAAAAGTGAATCAATTTTTGACTTGAAATAGCTCAGTAGCTAATCAAGATGTGGCAATGAAAAAAGCACCGAATGAAAGCTTTTTATTCAATTTTCTTTCAAATTGTATGCGTTTTTATGGTCCCAAGTGCCATGAAATGGTCACAAAAAGCCATTTAAAAGAAAACTTTCCACAAAAAAAGTTTTCAGATGCCTTTTTCCACTGAGCTGCTGTTCTGGAGAGCTGTTTTCATGAATGAAGGAATTGCAATTATTTTTTCTTGCACCTGCCCTTAATTTTCATGTTTTTCTTATGCCTACCAGAGAAGAAGAACTCGACTGAAAAGTGATGACATTTCCTCGACAAAGCCGGTGACAGGGGAATCAGAATAATGTGGTTCGTGCGTGGGCGAAAGAACCCCCCCAGCACGAGGCACAGCACAGTTTTCCGTTTCCTCGTCGTCATCCCCCGCATATTCGGAAGCGAGACAACCCCTTTGCTTTTCATACACGGCGCCGCCGGTTTTCCCGTGCGTCAGCAGATGCGGATCCCCTGGTCATATATTGAGGATCCTCCCTGCTGGGTTTCGGATGGGAGGGTTTCTGGAGAGAACAGATCCCCCCCGGTAACCCCCTCTTTCCTGTCGGCGTCGGGCGCGCCCACGCATGGCACCGACTTGTCGACTGCGATGAATTCCACTCTCGTATTTGCTTGCGTCATTGTAGGGGTCGGGTGGGTACCATCTCGGGGGAGGGGGGGGGTTGGTTTTGAAGGTGGCACATGCATATGGGTGACAATAATGATCTGGGGGAAGGTATATATTGGCTTTCATGGTTCACACGATGATAAAGAAATGCGGGGTTCACTTCTCAACAAATCAATGACAGGCTGGAGCTAAAGCACAAAAGATCCAATGTAATACAGTGAGACCCCGAAATGTGGACATAATTGGTGCATCAAGAGTGTCCCTAAGTCGAGTCCCATTTTCCCTTAGACTTACATTATATAATTTTTAATTGGTGTTTTATGGATAAAATACTCACCATAATTCCATGAAAATATAAATTGTCTCCCAATTTAAACTGATTCCAATCAATATATATTTCAACACAGTATGGACATTTGTGGAATTGAATTCTGATTCCTCTGTAGAGCATACAGGAATGTTGGTATACTCTGTAAGAATAACATTCAAGTGAAAAAGAGAGAAGGAAGTCCCTTCTCTGCTGGAGGTAATATTTTAAATTAGCTAAATGGATGGTAACTTGGTGAGAGAAATGTCCAAAAACGTTTCTTACATCAATTTTAGGGTTGGAAATATCTGTTTCTTCTACTTTGGCCTGAAATGTATTTGCAGTTTTATTACAAAATGTCCCTATCTTGAGTCAGTGTCCTCATGTTGGGCCTATTTTATAAATTTTTTATTAGAAAATAAGTGTCCCTATGTCGAATTGTCTCCAGGTTGAGGTGTCCGCATGTGGGGGTCTCACTGTACTTCTTTATTTAAGTTTGTGTGCGTGAAAGCTTTTCTGAACATGGCATTTTTTACATGATTATTATTATGGCCTTGAATAACACGTTCCGGGATTTTAATCCCCGTTGTTTGATTAACTTTCCCTTTCATTGCTCTCTTTTAATTCTTTACCGTTTCCGAATGGGTGAGCAAGCCCTTTTTTAATAATTCTGTTTCGGTTTTCGCCGTTTTCCGACGCGTGCAAATCTTTGATCGTTAATGACTAATTTCTCCCTCCCCATTTACGCAAATAATCAGGTGTGAGTAATTATTTTCTTAACGGTTGCACGGAACTTCCTCTTTTTTTTGTATAGAATTGAAGAAAATTTTCGCGTCCTGGCGTGGGAGGATTTCATTCGAGTCCATGATTATCAGAAGATCGTATGACATTTAAAAGTCGTGTAAACACAACGGGAGAGCTGATGTTTTAGTAAATCAATTTTCTTGAGAAGGTCAATCGAAACGTTGGCACAAGGCGTGGTCGGAAAGTTTCATAAAATGTAATCTCTCTAAAATACTTATCATTGATAGAAAAACATAAAAAATTTCTTGAAGTCGTGACAGAAATGGAGAACAGTGAATAGAAGCTTTCGTTATATAAATACTCGGCTGTAGCACAAAGTATTTAGAAGTTTTCGCTTCTAAAATTTGAAGAAAGCATGGAAAATTCGCATTTATGCGTTGAAGAAAGAGTCATTGGTTTCATAGAATTACATAGATGATTTCAAAAGTCATCCGCTGTTGAATTTCCTTCAACCAACGAGCTTTTTGAAACTATAGAACGAAAGATTTTGTGGTGAGTTACTCGTACAATAAAAAAATGCCGTTTCATGAATACTTGTATGATTTTTGGCAAGATGTTTGCTCAATGCACGCACTAAATCTAAAATTACTGTATACTATATTTCATAATTTTTCAACCGCGATTCTGCAATGGTTCTTTCCTTGAGTCCCTTGTCTCGAAGGAAAACCTGCAACATTTGATTTTCATCTTTCTTCTGTGTTGGAAACGGAAACCCAAGCTAGTAACTCCATATACTGTATTAAATTTGAAATCAGAAAAGAAATGTGTACAAACTCCAAAGAGTCTTGTCATGGGTACATTGGATCCCAGACAAAGGTCTTGAATTGCGCAGCCATAGGAATGCAAGTTTGAATAAGAACTCAAACTCTTCACAGAGGAGTTCATTCTCATTGCCCAGTTCATAAATTGGCTGTTAATTGAATGGTTTTAATGGCAGAGTCAATTGTAAGATTGGTTGGTTAGCTCAGAATGTTGAATAAGGTAATTAAAGTTAAAAGGCCCTTTAACACTAGGTTCTGACTTCTCTTCTCAAAGAGGAATAATGGTTTTTATACCCAGGTGCTTGGACTGGGTCAGGAAGAAATCAGGTGATTTCTTCCTGGCTCAAGATAGGCCAATTTTAGGAAAATCAAAGAAGTGATATGAATGTCAAGTTTATTCAGTACACTATTGTGGCATAAATGAAAGAAGCGCGCTACTGGGTTCACATAAAAATATTTAGCACTCTTGCATGCAAACATCAGACAAATTTGAAATCATGTGACTCACCTGCGATTGAGTACCACCAGTACTTGTTATGGTCCACAAGCTAGAGATGCCATCTTAAAAATAACTGGCTTGTCTGCCAGAAAATGTAGAATAAAAAATGGTTACATATACACAAGCATGAATTTTATTCAAACGGACTCTGGTACCAGGAATGAAGCCAGAAGATGTCTCCTGGTTTTTCTAACTGTGAGCAAAAAACTTTCATTTTGCTGTAATGCTTGATTCTCTGCAGCTTAGGAGAGGTAAACGTTATTTTCAGCATCACATTGCAGGAATTTTATCATTCACAGGAAAAATTATCATTTCCGGAGACTATGAGATTTGTTGTAGGATTTTGTTTATGCAAAATGTATAATCATCAAAATTCCTCTTTTTTCTGATACAATTGGATAACTTGAACATTGTCATGCCAAGTTTGTTTTCAGTACCTCTCCAAATTTCCTTAAGAACAGTGTTTTACAAAGTTTAGACCTCCTAAAACTCAATGAAAGTCCCTAATTAAACTTCGCTTTTTTATAAATTGAATGTCCTGAGAATTTTTGACTATTATTCTGGCAACTAATGTCATGGGTCCATTTGATCCCAGACAAAGGAATTGAATTGTGCAGCCATCAGAATGCAAGTTTTGAATAAGAACTCAAACTATTTTCACAGGTGTTCATTCACATTGCGCAGTTCATCAATTTGCTGTTAATTCAATGGTTTTGGTTAGCTCAGAATAATGATTGATTAATGTAATCTAGGTTAAAAGGCCCTTTAACACTAGGTTCTGACTTCTCCTCTCAAAGAGGAATAAAGGCTTTTATAGACAAGTGCTTGGACTGGGTCAGGAAGAAATCAGGTGATTTCTTCCTGGCTCAAGATAGGCCAATTTTAGGAAAATCAAAGAAGTGATGACCACTTCTTGTCCTTGAGTGAGGTCTAGTGAGTCTGGCAAAAACTGGATTTTTGGGAGGCTCACTGGCCTCAGAAATGCAACAAGTTTTCTGGTCCGGTTGCAGCTGGATGCTGGAGCTGCTTTGCTTTGGTACATGACAAATCTCATGTATAAATATAATGGACCTTTCAAATGATTGTCAAAGAGCTTGATTTTTTTCTTTCTTTTTATTCTCACACGCTTCGTAAATTTGTTTTTCCTTCTCATTCTCAACACTTGCCTGTTTATATTACGGTACCCGTGTTTCATTAGATTTGAGACCGCGATTACAGTGACAATGTCCCACGTGATTCTTCATTTGAAATGTTGACAGGATGCGAATCCCCCTTTCCTTTTCCTCCTTTTTTGTTTTCGCTCCCGGCCGAAGCTGCTGCCTCTGGTAGCCGGAAGGGACGATTTCGTTTCCGGTCATGTACCTTGGTCGACGGAAAAGCCAAATCTGTTGAAGAGTGCCGAATTCGTTGCTTTGCGTGTCGGCGGGGATCGTGGTTTTTTTTTTCTATTGAGACACTGGAAATACGAGTGGATTCGCTGTCGGGACGATTTGTGTGAAAGTGCTGCTGCACTTTGGGCCAACAGCTTCCGGTTGTTACAGTCAGGTGAGTCATTTTAACCTCGTCGATACAGTGATTGAAAAGGTTTATTTTTTATTTATTTTTGATGTACTGTTCAAGAGATCACAATGAAATCTCGAGTGAAAATGGGGTGAGAGGAGACGAAGCGGAGAGACATGACCTGAGGCACCCCAGGGATACAATTTTATATGTACAAGGAAGAACCCCACTTTTAATCACAATTGGTTCACCTATTTCGCCCAAAAGGTCCGATAGTTAAAACAATTATCCTCCAGTAAAATATTTAAATATCCCTGGTGTCTGATAGAATTTACTTTAGATTTCGAAAAAAAATCATTTTATAAAACTAAAATTCCAGTGAAAAATCCCTTGAAAGTGTGGTAACAAATCTCGAGTTGTTTGTTCGTCACACAAAGAACTTAAAAGATTTCAGGGAATTCCGCAAATCGTATCAATCGAGATCCATTTAATTCATTGGAATTTCAGGAAGCTGGGAAAAATTAGTGAAGGGCTTCAATACGCCTGATCAACCAATCAGAAAGTTCAGACAAGCATTTGATTTTCGTCTGAAGTTACTAAGGTGATGGTCATTTTTATGAAAAACTATAAAATGTACATAAATCTGGATTATTTTAAGCAGTCTTACCCGGAATTTTGATGCGTGGGCAGTTTGATGGAAAATTTTCGAGTTTTTTTTTTAGCTTTTTTTATCGAATTTGGTAAAAGAAAACAGTTCCGGGATCCAAATAAATCTTCAGCCCACCCGAGGCTAATTTTCTTGTCGAATTATTCTTAGTATTGATCAAAAAGTCAACTATTGTTTTGTAGCTTCTTCATGTGTCCAACACAAGACATGTACAAGACTTTTTATGTGTCCTACGAGCCACAATCTCATAATCTCATTCCTGTTACAATAGTTACCATAGTTACCACAATATTTGTACAGAAGTAGAATTGAAGAAAGACTCTGCCCATCAAAAGACGCCGAATCATTTCCAGTAAATTTGTAAACCTTATTATTTGTTCGGGTTCTGAATATTTTAATCGTCTATTCTTTCCCATTTCATCTTCAATTGTAGTTTATATCTGTTTGGATTATAAAATGAAAGGATAAAATAACGCAGAAAATTCAGAAAGCTGCGGATATCTGAAATAATAATTGGAATAATCCGAGAGTGCGTCGATTTTGCACAGGAGGAATTGGCGAAACAAGTGCATCCGGTGTGAGAAAAAGAAAAAAATTTGTCTTCCTTGAAATAAAGTTCTTTTTCTTGCATAAATTTCTAAAATACTGTAGATCTCAGCAAAGAAGGTGGGGGGAAATATTCGGGAACCAAGGAATGAACGACCGGGTTAGAGCCAGAAAAGAGGGAAAAAAGTCCCAACGATACAAACATATATATATATATATATCTATTATATTATATTTTTTATTTTTTGCGTGGGATAGGAAGGGCAAAGCCTTAAAAGACGCAGTCAGGTCAGGCTGTCAGCCCAACTGGGGATTTTCATCCTTGAACCCCTGCCAATAACCGCTGCCAGAGAGGCCTTTCCCAGAAACCCCACCAGGCACCATCAGCAATCCCTCTCTCCCCGGGTTGCACTTTTCCCTCAAAAGACCCCTGTCCTATAACCCCCATATGAGAGGGAACAGAAAAGATTTGCTACTGGATGTGGTTTTCACGGTGGGTGAAATGAATTGAGGGATTTGTACAAAGGTTTTTTCTTGCTTTCTTCATTTGGACATCAATGATATGGATTTTCGATTCAGTTTGTTACATTCAGTTTTCATTTTTATGATGATGAAGGTCATTTTCCGGAGTCCAAAACTAATCGAATTATTTTTGAGCGTAAAGAAGCAAATTGCTTTTAAAATATAAAACACGAGCATTCGAGCTGTAAAAGCGTTTTTTGCGGAAGAAAACTTTCATTCGGAATCCTTTCTGGTGAAGTTAATTTGAAGATAATTTCACGGTTTCCAGAGAGTACCTTATTTTAGATGAACCAAATGTGCGTCTGATTGTGAATCAACTGATTAATTCTTCAATGCAGTGGAATTGAAAACAGGTATTACATTTTGAAGCACGATCAACTCCTGTGTCTGATCAAATTTTAACGTTGAGCACTTAAATCTCTGTTCAGTTATGATATTCTTGGTGATATTTTCCTGGGTTTTATAGTCAGCATCTGGAAGACTAATTTTTCCCATGAGGCCTATTTTTGTATTTGAAATAATGCATTATATTTCCTCATTTCCCATCCAGAATATTCGACACGGCATTTTTATTTGATTTGAATGTACATGATTAAAAAGAACTTGAGTCCTTCTCCTGTAAATTAATTTCAACTGAGACACATACCCTATTAATTTTATGAGTTCAAAGAGATATAATCAGACTTTTGCGAGGTATAAGTAGTATTTATGCTCGAAAACAATCAGAATTCGCATTACGCAGGCAATTTTTCTCGCAGAAATTTTAGCTCCAAGCCTATATAAATTTTCTGCGGCCATTAAGTGTACGCAAAAATAATTGTGCCACAACCCGTGGAGATTTTCCTCATGAGGTTCTCGTACCCTGCGACGACTACCCGTGGAAATGACGGATCCCGATTTCCCTTTTTTTTGTTTTCTCTTGAAGAGAAGCTGGTATTTATTAAGATGGTTCCGGCGGGGAGCTTATGCTGAAAGAAAAATTGGCGAAATAATGGTGTGCATAGATAGCTGATACCCCATGTTAGCTTGCCAAACATTCGGGGCTTTCTACGTGCTGCGGGAAAAGGAGAGAAATAAAGGGATGAGAAATGATCGCACATGTATTATCTGGTTGGTTCTCATCTTCTGCAAAAGCTAACCCAGTAGTTTATAGCCTACTTTTGGGGCGTCTTCTTTGGATCCCTATATGATGGTATCGTGGGTGAAAAAGACTTCCGAATTCTGGTAGATTTCGCTTGAAATTTGAATCAGTTCTCAGAGCGTGATTCGCATGAGGAGGCTTTGACTTTTTCAACGGCCAAAAATTTCGTACTGTTACGAAACAAAATTAGAAACTTTTCAGGCATATGGTGGAGCAAAATATTTGAGTTTGATCGTGGAAGAAGTTCCTTTTTGCAGGATTTATTGACGAATAATTGCAAGCTTCTGAGATTTTTCGGTTGCTATTGAAAACATTCATTGCCGTTTTCTTTTTAGTTTTTAGAGATCCGAATTCTGTAAAAGGGAAGTTTAATGGTTTCCTGCTACATGGCAATTTTCATCCAGAGAAGCCCAGCATAAAAAGCCTCCCGAGAAATCGAGAAGACGTCGATTATCTCCATAATTTATTCTGTGTTTTTTGTTTTGTTTTGGAAAATATAAATTCACTTCTATTAAAAACAAATTTTTGCAGAATGACTGATTCTATGACGATTTCAAATTCTAAATGCAAATTTAGTTGATGAAATAAGTAATCTGCTTGTTTTCGTTTCATCAATTCCGAAAAAGGTGATCGTTTCTTTCAGTTTTCGAACTATTTTAAGGTCATTATGGTTTCCTTTTTATGAATTAATTGCAGGAAACTCCAGTTCAATCGAAAATGAAAAAAATTCAATCAAATCTGATGCTCTGTCTGTTTTATGTTGATCGGATCATTTTTGAAATCATTTTGATCTGTGATTTATCATTGAAGTGACTTTTCGGGGAAAATGTGCTTCAATGTACAGTAAACATGAACTCGACGAATAATCGCTCAGTAAAAAATAAGATGGCTTTTCAAAAATCGTATGCCCTTTTCATTGCATTAATTTTTTTTATATTACTGCAATAATGTGGCATTATTGCGAAAAAAAGGCATGAATATCAAATTAACTGGGCTACTTTAATCACGACGAATAATCGCTAAAAAAAAACTGAGCAAAGTTTGCCTTTCGGATTGTTTCGATGTAAAATATGCCGGACCTTTTCTTTCAGCTAAAATTGCAACTGGTTAACGATTCTAACGGAGTCGAATTAGACTAATGTTAACACGCGGTGTTTCGGATAACATTTCTCGATTATGACACTTTTCCACTAACTGGGATGAAAATGGCGCTAATTATTTCAAGTGATTTTTTTCCAATAATTTAAGAGTGTAATAAAACTTTAAACGATAAGATCGAGAGCGAGAAAAAAAATCAGAACTTGTTTTCCCCTCGAAATTCATATTAATTAGAAAGAACGCGTCTCTCATCAATGATTCGTGTCAACGAACTTTCGTATAACCCTACTTTGATTTCTGGCAGCACTGTATATTGGCATTGAAATGATCGGGGTCTTGTCCGAAACCCATCTTCTTTTTTCTATTTATTTGTATTCCTATTCACGTCTCACATAACGCATTTCTGCGGAAGTGCCGGTATATTCCGACCATTTCCCGGTTCCTATACTGTATAAGCTTGAGGAATGAAGCGCGGTCAAGGGGAAGATGATCTCCAAGATCGAAGCCATGGGAATCGGGTTGCAAATCCAAGGTTCAGGGCCCGTTTCTGTCGGGGGGCGAGGCTCACGAACCTCTATCTTTTGCCCTTCGTGCTTGGGTATATATCCCTCGATCCTCGCGCTTTGTCGATAAAAGAAAAAAATATGAAAGCCCTCGATCCATACTTGACCGAAACCCGTGGGTCGACTTCGACCTTTCCATTCGAGGAGGGGTTCTTCCTTCAGGAACTCATACGCTCAGCTAGAAAATTTTGAAAGAAATTAGGTGTTTACCAAAGAATTAAAAAACTTCAAAGTACAAGGTGAACGTTTTTAACAGGCCTGTTGAAGAAAAAAAAAATTGTACTAAACTGACATAGTAACTCACTGAAGAATTTTTTTCGTACTCGTAAAATTGGCTTTAAAAAATCAGGATTCCTCATATATTCTATGGTTTTTCGCTTTAGATGGTGTTTTAAATTTGATGATGATGTTAGAACACTAATGCAAAAAACAGGTAATTTTTGCGTTATTTTCTGTCGAAATTTTGCCGATAACAAGGTCATCATAATTTTGGCATAAAATTGTCACGTAATTTAAAAAAAGTAAGAATAAAACTGATTATTTGTTGTAAGATAAGCATGGAATCGCCGAAGAAAATATGAAGACCTATTCCGTGCTCTTAGGTAATTGTCTTACGCTAATACATTATATAGGAGTTATTTCCGAATCCTTTAAATCAGCGGTAACTCCTGTCATGGACATTTAAAAATACCGGTACATATAAATCGCATTCCTTTGGCAACGTGTAGTAATTTTTTGCGTCAAAAAAGCTTCTTCCGTTTGAAATAAGCGTGCCAAGGAAATTTTCATGCTCATTTTGTTGGCGCGGTTCATTTCTGTTTCGTTATCCCAAATGTGCGTGAGAAATTACGGACAGCACCGAAATTGTGGTTCATCCTCTCACGAACAATTGATGGACAAAATTTTCAGATTTGAAAGAAAATTTCACTACTGCATCAGTAATATGTTCGAAACCGCCAGGTGGTGACCAAATTCATTATGAAATTTCGCAATGCTGTCATTCATGCATATACAGCATTTTGTGAAATTTACAATATTTAAATTTTTTCATTTTATAAGATATGACTGGGAGATAATTTTAAATTTGGTTATATTTAAAACAGACACAGGAAAATAGTTTATCATTCAAGTTCATAAAATTGCATCTATATAGTGCGCCTGACGAGGATTTTGCTCAAGTACGCTTGTTCAGTGTCATACAGATGAAATTTAGAAAAAAAATTATTCAGAAAAGAAATTATAAATTTTTTTTCGCCTAATTTTTTTTGCCATAAACTTGGGGATTTGAAATTCCGGTGGAAAGGAAAATGTTTAGCCGTTTTTTTCAGTTCTGATAACTACTGCACTGTATTTTATTTGCGGTCTTTGAAGAATGAAATTGGTGAAATTTTTTCAGCAGTTCGATATGGCCATAAATCGATGAGGACTGAGTCGCCAGCGTCGAATTCTGCACTTTTGAGCAGCTTGTGGTCGACTCTGCGAATTTATTTATTTACTCACTCATTCCTGTATCTCTTATTCGGGGATGAAGCCGGGGTTTGAATAGAATAGGGTTTCGCTCATCACTCGTATTTGTTCTATAGACCTTTGATGCGAGTGGTTTCGTTGATGTTTCCCCGTTATTGCAGAAGAGGGATTTTCTGCTGAGGGAGTCGTGAAAGGAGTGGCGTGGAGGCTTTTCAAGAGAGGCGCTTCAGATGGTGAGATAGCGACTGCTGGGTGAAGATATTTCGGGGAACAAGCGCGCAACCATGGCCGACGCGCAGCCGGAATCGATGAAAAATCGGAAGCTGTCCCTGAAGAAGGTACAGTACATAATTGTGTATACATACATTGAATTGAACAGCGAGCTTTATTGTCTGCTTTTCAATGTTCACAATGTTCCCGCTTTCAGGCCCTCTTCCCTCCCCAGTCCCCACCTGTCGCAAATTTAAGTGATGGAAGACAACTTGTCACTGCTAAAATACAAGAATCCAATTCCTCAGAAAACCTTGTCTTTACTTATCTCTGTGTGAACCGGGAAAAAACTGGGGTTCACACACTCATTTTTTCCCAAAAGCCTCAAAGGCTCTTTTTTATTGCTAAATCCTAATACTACTGTTCATCCTTGAAGGACAGTCTTCACAAGGTTCAATCAAGATTTCCACAACCAAACCCCCTTCCCACCCAGCCCAAATCCACTCAATGACATTTAATCACTTCAGAATAAAAACATGGTAATATAATACAACATGAATTACAGGTGGACATCTGGGAAGGTGGGTTTGGTTGTGGAAATCTTGATTGAACCTTGAGAACGCTGAAAAGTGGCAAATAAAGTGTTCTGTTCATTCATTCAATCAGTCTTCCTGATTCCTACTCTATCTAAAAAACTTCACTCTTCTTTGAGCTCTCATACAAGACACTCCAGCATTTTTGTGAATATTGTGTGTGTTGACTGTGTTCTTGTATTACAACAACCTTGAAATAGGGTGAAATTTCACCCCGGTTCTAGCCCAACCAAATTCTTTGTGACATTTATTTCTAAAACATATTCTATTTAAATTTTACTAAATCATTCCTAACACCACCCACATTCATCCAAACACAGTCTTCACATCAGAATAGAAACAAGCAGCTCATAGATAAGGAAACTTTTTTTAAAAGTCCCACGCCCTATTTGATTTTGGACCTGTTGAATTTTGAATTGAATCCATTGAAAACTCAGCATAATTTCACCAGCTTTCGTCGAGGCTTTTCCGTGTTCTTGACTTGGTTGCATTTTTGAAATCTTTTTCCAGCAGATCTTGTCATTATTCTATGCTTGAAACTTTTCTGACTCCTCAAGAGACGACGGTTTTGATTAGATTTTCTGCATCAGACCAGATATTCTGGGCTGCATAAAGCGGCGAAATAAGTTTTGCCCGCCTCGTGTTTCTTGCGAGTTGAAAAATATCAAATTTATCTAGGGTTTTCGATAGGATAACGACGGAAAAATGTCTTACGAAGAGTCTTTTGAATTGTTTTTCTTTCCGAAGCAAAACAAAGACAGTAAAGTCACTCATAAATTCTGCACTGGTGACATTTTTCAACCCGCACGATATCATGAACAAGGCAGCTCGTAAACTTAGCTTTGTATTCTGACTGAATTATTGGAGAAGGTTTTCAGTGGTTTAAATATCCTTTTTATTTTTTCTAATTCGATTCTCTCTTTTTTTCTTTAAAAAGATGGAAGCCCTGGTTCGAGAAATGATGGATTCCGAAACCGGGGTTCCTCTCAGACGACACAAACTGCTTCTCACTGCGGTTCCAGACGCCATGGCAGGTGAGATTCGTCATTGACAAAATATTCAGGGATTACATTTTAGAATTATTGTGTATTAAGAAAAAAATTCGAGGGAAACCGCGGAAGTCATGCTTAATAATACGCCAACGTGGAGAAAATTTCATTTGAGAAAAAAATCACCTGGGCGGTTAGTCATGATACTCATGAAAGCCACTGAATAAACATGACTTTATTTTAAATCTGTATGTTATTCGTTGCCTTTTGGATTTATTCCTGGCTTTCAAAATTCGAAAAAGTCAAAGTAGGTCGGAGTGAACACGTAAAAAGCAAGAGCTTAAGAAAAGTCCACAGGAATTGGGCGGAAAGTCCCTCATGATTGTCATGAATGAGTTATGCAAAACTTTGGGAAAACGAATATATTTTGAAAGTATAATTACCTTCTATGGAATAGGTAATTTTTTTAACAAGCTGAATGGATGGGAAAGTGATGGGGAAAGTGCCAAAGACTTTTTCTTGCATATAGATCTTAGGGTTGGAAATATCTCTTTCCTGTAATTAAGCCTAATGAAAGTCAATTTTCCTAAAATCTATTGCCAATTTTATCATTCAATGTCCTCATGTCAAGTCAGTGTCCGAATGTTGGCCATTTTTGTGATTTTTTAATTGAAAAAATAAATGTGTCTATGTCAAATTGTCCCCATGTTGAGGTGTCCGCATGTGGGGGTCTCACTGTATATCTCTTATTTTTTTGTTTCTTGCTTCAGGCTACGATATGATCGAGTGGCTGATGGAGCACTACAACCTCGACGACTCCAGTGAGTGCCCGAGCTAATGCGTTACTCGTTCGCGTTCTATATATAGGGGTGGGAAAAGAACGAAAGATAAAGTGGGGGGTAATTTTTTTTTCCTCCCTTTTTTTGTTGCTTCTTACATTTCTTTTTCTGTCTTTTTTGTTTACCCCCTTTCGAGAAGGCGAAGCAATATCCCTGGCATTGCAGTTGTGCCTCCATTGCTTCATCTATCCCGTCTCTGAGAGCCGAGACATCAGCGTGAAGGATGATTCATCCATCTACAAGTTCCACGTGAGTAACTTTTTCATTTGATTTCATTTTGTGTGAGGAAATTGATAGTTGGGTAAGATTTCTAAACACTTCCGGCCTTCAATTTCTTCTGCGCCTGATTATTACGTAAGTGCGACGAAAGATCCCGAGAAATTCGGAGGCTGCCGTTGTAGAGAATTCTACGAAAGAGGGTACTGTAATGCTAGATTTTGGCAAAAAAGTTTTTCGACGTCATTTTTGTGAAGAACTCAAAAAATCACGAGAGGAAAGTCGAAGCAAAGCAATAATCTATAGAAATGTATGCATGTTTTTGAGACTTCGGTTTCGCATCAAACATTCTGGTTACCGCCATCATCGCATGAATTGCTATTTGTTCGAAAATATTTCATGAGGCGTACATTTCTCACTCAGCTCTTGACGATTTATTGCTGAGTCCAAAGAAATTTATGCTAAATTATAGATTGAAAATAATTGTATTTCAGCGTAGTTATTCGTGCGCAAAAGGAGGGAAAATACGATTTAAAAATCTGTGAAATCGCTAGAAAGTTAATGTGACACGGAATAAATGGAATTTGCAATAATCTTTCATCCATACATTCCATAGATGTGCGATAAATGAATTACTTTCGAAGGGTATTCGAGCATCCTAGATCAAATTGAGGCATATTAAAAAAAATCATTTCCCGAATCAACTTAGATATTGGTTGAAGAACTCGTAAACGTTATTGGAAAACTTTTTCGGTCTGAAGCGATTTCACCGAGATGTACATTGCAACAATTTGTACAAGTCTTCGACATCAGCTTGAAGTTTTTAAAACATTTCATTTTTGTGATATTCTCAGGGACTTTGCTTATGTTGAGACGGGGAAAAGGTGATCAAGCTTTTCAGAATTCGAATTTCAAAATTATCTTCAGATTTCAACGCTTCCAGCAGAATCAGCAGCAGAATTTTTTTTAAATTTCGCGACAGAGAAGACTTCACTTTATAATTGATTGAGATTTATATTTCATTGACTTTTCTGGAAATTATTGCGATCTATAAATATAAGAATAAAATTTTCCTCCTCTAAAAAGTCATTCATTTCCTGAATTTTTCTCCTGTTTTGCGCTAGAAGATCAAAATCCATCTCCTGCAAAATTGCGTCGACTTTTGTGTGTTGCTCCTTGCTCGACAAATTTTTATTTGTATCGATTCATGTGCTGATACATTCGCGAAAATACGTTTTCAACGGGCAAGTTATTGTCCAATTCACGTTGACACCGCGCATTAATCAATAAATCGGTTTCTACGTCGGAAAAAGTTACGTGACCTTTGACCTTTTCAGCAAATGAACTCGCCTGCCGCAAAAGAGCCTGACAAATAACCTTGACTTGTCTTCCAAGACTCTCGTGATAATTGAAAAACTTTTCGAGGTGATTTCCCATTTATGGGGGCAAATACATAATTTCTTACGTCTCAACATGGCATTTCTACTGAAGAAATGATGATGATCAACGTCGCATAATTAATCAAGCACTCAGCGGACACAAATTCAATTTTGCCTTTTAAAACCAAGGCATGGGCATCAATAAGATGGGAAAGGAAGAATTCATTACGTTAATCTAACGATATATACACGTATTTTGTTTACTGATGTGTGCTTTCTCTTGTTCAGAAACGGACATTTTTAAAATTTGCGAAGTAATTTTTTTTTTAGAATCGTATTGCATTCTAAAATTAGCGGGAGAACAACTGTCGGTTAATTTTTGGGGTTTTTTTCTTTCGAAAAATCCGATGCTTTTCTTCATTGATTTCGAATCAAAGAAATATTCAAGAGATCCGCACGTGGCCAAGAATTTCCTGGTAGATGTTCATTGGTATTCCTGCAGAGAACCGGAACAGTTCCCCGGAATCCATTCGTCAAAAAATTCTTCCGCTTCGTCGATGTCTCATTCCTGGGGATTTCAGGTCACCACAAAACCCCCCTCTTTCCCGGTGGCTAAAGTAAATATTAGAGAACGACCCCGACCAGGAGCAGATTTCTTTTTTGGATTTCCAGTAGGCTGTTGCAGACGACTCGACAGTGACGAGACCCAGACGCCTTCCGGTGTCGAACTCACTCTCGTCGTCGACGACTTGCTGTCGACGAGAAGTTTCCCAGTTTTTATTTTAGTATCTCAAGTTGGCCTCGATTAAGGCTTGAACTCTTTTTAGCAAAAAAAAAAGAAAAAAAAAGAAGGTTGTGTTTGAACTAAACGTTTTTTTTTTCTTGGAGTTCATGTCTGATTTATAACTGGGTTCTGCCTCACTTGAACTTTTGTTGAACGTGATAAAATTTTAAATCAGTTGGAATTTGTTCAAGAAGTCCCACAGAATTCCAATGAGTGAGCAGCTTCAATAAAAAAACATAAGCCTGCTCTTCACAAATTATTTAAACCCCGAGGTTCTATTTGTCAAATATTTCTAAAATATGCTCGACCTCTTTACACGAATTCGCAATCTAGTCTTTTTGAATATTGGCGCAGTGTAAAAAGAGAGCTTTTAATCCTGTATATCAGAAAATGGAAAATACCTACTGTAATTTTTTTAAGTGTTCGCTCGTGATCCCAGAAAAATTGAAAAAAATGTGTTCGAAATAAAAGACGTCGTAGGCTTATCAGAAAGAGAAAAAAAACGCTGAACAACGTCCAATGTCTTGAAAGTTCATATAGAAGCAACCTTTCGTCAACAGCCCCCACCGGGATTTCATCTCTCAGCAAGACACGATTCGAGAGAGCTTTCAGCTCGAGTACCACATTCTGTGATGAACCGAGTCAAAATAAGCGTAATGAAATAGAAGGAAAGTTTATTTGGACGAGCTTGTGCGTAATATGTTAGTAGAGAATGCCGAGTTCTGAAATAACTTTTCCTGCGGAAAAGAGAACCCACGTCATCCCCACATATACTCATGCGGGCAAGTCATCCTAAAACCGTCCACTTCACCCACTCACTTACTCATCCATCTGTCACCCACTCGTTCGTCTGCCCTGGATGAGAGTACAGTACTGTACCCCGGAGTTCTAGTACTGTTAACACCCTGATCTGCGGGAGAGGCTCAGGATACGATAATAACTTGGGAGACTTGTTCTTTCATACAGTAATATATCGATAAAAAAAATGCTGTCCCAAAAAATATTTCATTATGAGATGATTTTGTCTCAAGTACAGGCAGAAAGCCCATCATGAAATACTGTAAATTTTGAAGCAATATTGTTGTAACAATGAGTCAATAACTCCCAATTCCAATATAGAAAGCTTTTTTGAGGAATGTTTAATAAATTTTCTGGGTAGAAATTTGCCAACTGTGGCAGGCACAGCATCAAATTACCAATCCCACATGTGATTGACTTGTTCTTGCAACATGAATGCTGGAAGTTGTGATCAATGAAAAACATGCTTCCAAGTGTTTTCACTCATATCAGCCTCCCAGAATAAAGAGATTTGTGGAACTGGTGAAAAGTAGGAGTCAACCCTATTTTTACTTCACAAGATCACTGAGTTTTTCAAGCAATACTGAACAATTGGAGAATACAGTTGAGCCTTTGTAATTTTGACCTCCTGAAGTTAAATACAGGCAAACCTTGATAACTTGAACCTCCCTGAGTCAAATACCCCCCTAAGTCAAATTTTTTTCAGGTCCCCATCTGAATTCCCTCAGAAACAATACATTAAAAACCTCTTTAAGTCAAAAGCTTTTTCCCTCAAACCTTGGTAAGTCAAATTTTCTATGGCCTGTTTGCCATTGTATTTGAGACCCAAGAAAAAAAATGGATGTACATTAAAGGAAGTGAAAGACTCAATTGTGCAAATGAACTGCTGCCTTCAAGTTCAGCAGCCTTTCAACTCATTTAAGAAGCCATTTAAGCCCCAGAATATCAACATTGTCATTTTTCTAAGTTTCCCTGAAAAAGTGCTTCGTATTGCCGTTGTTCAAACCTATATAATTCAAAACCTCCCCTAGTCAAAACCTCTCTAAGTCAATTTTTTTTTGCAAGTTCCTTTGAAATTTGACTGAGAGAGGTTTGACTGTACCTACCCAAGTCAAATTTGTCCAAGTCCCTCCCTGAATTCCTTCAGAAATAATGTGATAAAAACCTCTGTAAATAGAAGATTTTTTTAACTCAAACCTCTGTTAGTCAACTTTTTTGAGGACTTTTAGCTACTATTTTCTTGACACAGGAAAGAGAAGAACAGTAAAGATGTAACTTAATGTCTTTTGAAAAGAGGTGAAGGATTAAATTGGACAAGTGAAACCCTGCCTCCAAATTCAGCATCCTGTCAACTCCATTAAGAAACAATTTGAGGCTCAGAATATCACCATTTACAATGTCATGCAATTCTTTAATGCTTCTCAAAGTATAAGTGCTTGGTTCCATAACCCAAACCTCTATAACTCAAAACCTCCCTAAGTTTACTTTTTGGCTGGTCCCTTGAAATTTGACTTAGAGATATTTGACTTGCCAGAACAGCAAGATCTCATTCAATATAGGCATGTATGATGTAAAATTGTTCCATCATTAATTTTGAAAATAATTTTATATCAAATTTTTCTGAAGTCCCCAGCAGAAGATTTTTGTAGCTAGATCCTGCTGTGATGTATATCATTGCCTAATGCAGGAAAAAATTCCTTTGCTAAGATTTGTGTGGGAGAAATTCCTCGGGAAAGAAGTACAGAACTGTATTCTCCCGTACTTCTTCATCCGACGTGGGATGTGTATCTTAAAATTTAATGTGAAGCGCTTTCGGCACGGGTTCGCAGGAACTTTCTAATTTCCTGTGTACCTACGGTCATTTATTTTTCCTGAATCTTTATCTTTCTGAGCTGAGTTTCTGTGAACGTGGTGGTGGAGAATCCCGTCGGTTTAAATTGAATTATAAAGAACGTGGGAATAGGATATTGCTTCGGGTACTCGTATATACAGTATATATTATGTCTACAGAGCCCAGGACTTCGTGCTTCGATCGTGGGAATAATTCTGGTGGTTTGGGACTTGAACGGATTTCCGAATTACTTGAATATGAATTGATAAAAGCTCATGATATATTTAAAATAAAGGGAAGTCCGGAGTTTTTCAGTACCGTATTAGTACTGTACAGTATACCGGTACGGGTGTTCATTGCTTACATATTTTGTATTTTTTGCGGGTTTGCGAGCTTTTCGATTTTTGCAGTTAAAGTTAGTGGTTCAGTCATGTGCATTTCCTGCACTCAATTCATTAAGGGTTGGCGCCATAGATTTCTATGAAAACGCAACTGCATAAAAATAAGATTTTTCTCCTGGAAATGATTTTTTCTGGCCCCGAGAATTTCTGGTACTTTCCTGTTATCTCAGTACCTACTTTCCTGTTATCTCTGTACCTGCCCCCTGACCAATTTAACCTAACTTCACCTAACCGCCTCCCAAAATCAGTTTCTGCTTTCTTTGGGTTTCTGCTGAAACTGATTTTGGGAGGTGGATATAACCTGACCTAACCTAACTTTACCTACCTAACCACCTCCCAAAATCAGTTTCAGCGGAATGCGGAAAAATAAAATTCACAGTTTCTGGTAGGTTGTTGTGATTATGAACTTGTCCTAAAGATTTGTCTGGATGGTAGTGAGGTCTATGAATGAGGTACTGGGTTTCCTTGTAGAGAGTGACCTCCTGTTCTATTGGAAATTTCCTAAGGACAATCAATTGATTAATTAATTATCTGGGCAACAGTGCTTGTTCATGGACTTGGATGACTGGGGTTCCAGTGTACAGTACAGTACAGAAATGTACTGGAATGTATTGTACAGTATGGTATCCTTTCAACTTATCAAACTAGCAGTCCAGAATATCAGCAATTTTACATTTCAAAAGTAATTCCTTGTATTTTCTCTTGTGTTCAATAATTTCCTTATGCTGAAATTCTGATATTTTTCATCAGGGAAGTGAAGACAGTGTATGTAATTACATCATTGGTTGTCCAATTGTACATTTTGGGATGTATTTTCTTTTCTATTGAGATCTATAAACAGCTTATTTATTTATTTTCCATACTGGTGTGATAGCATGTGTTTTGATGAATGTGGATGAGGAAGGGAGGGGTTTGGATGTGGGAACCTTGCTTGAACTCTGTGAATGCTGAAAAGCAGAAAATGAAGCTGCTTGCTTCTCAATTCCATTAAATTCATATTTTCTCTATAAAAAATTCCAGTTCTCCGACTCAAAACCTCCCTATATATAGGTTGAATTAGTTTCTGGGTCCCTCTGAGTTTGGTCTAAGGAGGTTTGAATGTACAACACAGCCTAACTAAAATGACATTTCCTCAAACCGTCAACTGTGTTATTGAGGATAGTTATACTGTATACAGTATAGTCAATCAAAAGAGGTACAAGGGGGGGATACTGCTAAAATTATGCGGGTACCACTGTTACAGCAGGGGAACATAAAGTGTATTGATTTTGCTTTTCTCGCTGTCTTGTTGTTGAGCAGCCAGAGACTGCGTGGCCATCGCGGGGACACGAGCCCGACTCCAGGTCATACGCCGTGTACCTGGTGAAAAAGCAGATGCGGAAGGACAAACCCCGACTGCACGCCATAGACGAATGGGAGTCGGAGGAACATGCCAGGCTCAAGATGAACCTGTCGGCGCACTGGAGTGGCATAACCGTTCTCGCCGAGGAACAGGTACAGTAGAGTAGAGTACTGTGTACAGTAATTTGAAATCACAATGGAGTGAGACCCCCAGATGCGGACATACCGTATTTACTCAAGTACCACGCGCACCTTTTTTGTCAAATTTCAGAAGAAAAATAGGGGTGCGCATCATAAGCGGGTACAAATTTTTCAAGAAGTTTTAGAAAGTTCTATGTACTTAATCATAATGGAGAAATTTGGAAAAAAAGTGACAAGAAAACTTTTTTGTACTTAACAAGTTGAAAATTTGTCAGATTTTTGTTAAATCATGTCTAAAGTTAAACTTTTTGCTTCTATTTTCGAAATTTTGTGGTTTTAGATTTACTAAAAATTGGGGTGCAAATTCAAATTTCCGACTGAAAAAACCCTGTGCGTGCCTTACTTGAGGGCATGTGGTACTTGAGTAAATACGGTAATTGGTGCATCAAGAGTGTCCTATGTTGAATCATGTTTTCTGAAAGACTTACATTGTATAATTTTTAATTGGTTTTTTATGGAAGAAGTATTCTTCAGAATTCCATGAAAAAATGTTTGTTTACCACTTGAATTTGATTCAGTGAATATTATTTCAACCCAATAAGAACATTTGGAGCATTGAATATATAGTATACCACTGTACAGTTCATTGAAATGTTTGCATCTGTAAAAATAGCATCCAAGTCACAAAAAGAGAGGGAAGTCCCTCGTTCTGTGCTACAGGTAATTTTTTTAATTAGCTGAATGGATAATGGATAATTAGCTTTGATAGATTCAATTTAGAAAAGAGCAAACTAACAATAATTTTTTTGTGAACATGGATAGTTCAATTTGATCAAGTTATTGAGTACAAAGTTTTGAAGAGTACAATTTTTGCGTGTTTGTAGAAACGTGTCCATATCTTACGACATTGTCTCAATGCCCGCGCATATTTTTCAAGTTTGAAGTATCCCTTATTCAAATGACTCAAATCATCCATATGCGTTAAGGCCCCAATGTTTTTCAGAAATAAACCCCCTCCCCCGTCCCATTCCGCTCAAGCTGCCAGTGGTGGCAACACTGATGACGTATTGATGCGTGGACTTGTGCCGTGTGTTTTCAGCTGAAATTGGAGAAGAATCTGAAGAAGAGAGAAGCTTTGATGGAATAAATTTAGAAGAGAAAAAGTTTACAGTGCAACTTCGATTTTTATTTTTTGAATATATAATGAAAAGCTCAATTTGATCAAGTTAGTGTATAAAACAATTTTAAAGATACAATTTTTGCATGTTAATAGAAATGTGTCCATATCTTGAGGCGTTGTCTCCATGACAGGGCATATACTTTGAGTTTGAAGTGTCCCTTCAAATCATCCATATGCTGCACCTGTAAGCCGTTGGGGCCCCACTGTTTTTTTCGGAAATACACCCACCCCTCCCATTCCGCTCAAGCTGCCAGAGGTGGCAACACTGATGACGTATTGATGCGTGGACTTGTGCCGTGTGTTTTCAGCTGAAATTGGAGAAGAACCTGAAGAAGACAGAGGCTTTGATAGAATAAATTTAGAAGAGAAAAAGTTTATAGTGCATTTTCGATTTTTATTTTGTGAATACTGTATATAATGAAAAACTCAATTTGATCAAGTTAATGTATAAAAAAATTTGGAAAATAAAATGTTTGCATTTTCATAGAAATGTGTTCGTATCTTGCGAAATTGTCTCAATGCCAGGGCATATTTTTCAAGTTTGAAGTGTCCCTTATTCAAATGACTCAAATCATCCATATACGTTGAGGCCCCAATGTTTTCAGAAATGAACCCCCTCCCCCGTCCCATTCCGCTCAAGCTGCCAGAGGTGGCAACACTGATGACGTATTGATGCGTGGACTTAAGCTGTGTGTTTTCAGCTGAAATTGGAGAAGAACCGGAAGAAGACAGAGAAGTTGATAGCCGAGAGCCAGGAGCGAGCGTACTGGATGGTGTACCGACCGCCGCCAGGAGCACCTAATCGCCTGGAAGTCCCGCCCTACGTCCAACTCCGCCAGCCTGATCGTTTCTCACAACGGAAATACGAAGCCGAGGCATGTGTCCATCCTCTGTCTTTATCTTTCCCCCCCCCCCCCTCCCCATAAATACCCTATGGTTTTACTAAATTATTATTATTCTTACCCCACTTCATTCCCCGGAACAACAGCATTTGTTCATCTCTGTGCTCATCACGGCGCACGTGTTTCACCCCCTGCTGCTGACGTGTTATTCAGATCTTAACATCCCGAGCCTGATAATATGCGCACCACATTATTCAGGCCCGTGGTCTCCTTTTATTTCCGCTCTACTTTTCTTTCGATATCTTCCTCACCTCCGCACGGGTGCCCGTTCGACCGGAAGTAATTCATCCAATCAGCTCCCGCATGAATAATCCACTAACCGACGCGAAACTTCGCTGGTCCATCCGTTACAAATAGACCCGAGTTGTCCGAGAAAAAGGAACGAAGACCCCTTTTTCTTGGAGCCTTGAGCGATCGGGGTTTTTCCTTTCTGGTTCGTATATATATATACAGTATACTGCGCAGTATATATAAGCCCTCCGCTTGAAAGAAGATTGTTCTCACTGATTAAAAGCATGTGGAAGTGCAGCTTATATAATGAGTGTGATTCGCTGCTGAGTCATCAAAGTTGAGAAGGTTTGATAGCGGTGTCAAAGTGGAGCTAGTTTAATGCAGTCGAATCTCAATTTAGTGTCATCACTAACACTAAGCAAAGGTGGCCATAAATTCAGGGTATTGTATAAAAACAAGGTTCATTTGAGGATTTCCACTGTACCCAAAATGAGCTTGTTCATAATTTTGTGATAGGCCAATGAGTCTGTTTTTCAAAGAGAAAGTCACAAAAAATAATTTGGAGCTCAAATATGCTGTTTAAAAAATTTCAAATATTTAATGCGATGAGATATGGTGGATTTTTGCTCCCACCAGTAATAGTGTGTTTATAGTAAAAGAACAGGGATATTTCTTTGGGTTTTGTTTTAGTTTCATATCGAGTGATATTAAGCAGATTTGCAAATCTTACCATCAAGAAAGCTTTCAATTTTTTTTTAAATTTTCAATAAAGGAAGGTCAATGTTTAAAGTTCTATCCGGGAAGAACAATCTCGTAAAGAAAAAATCTTCCCGCACTTCACAACTGGACCAACCTCGTACAGCAAAAAATTCTTCTAGTCCCAACATTTCGGGTAATTAGATAAAGACGAGGTTATTTCTGACGACGATATTCCGCGACGACGAGTTTAATTCACGACGACGTTATTCCATAGCTGACGGGCCTGACGACTTTATTCCATAGCCACCCCCAAAAAAGATGAAGTACATGATGCGTTTCGTGTCCGGTCATTGATTATTGATCCCCCATTCATTTTCTGTGCAGTTGGAGTTTTTGAAGAATCACGTGGCTCGATCGAGGACGAAAGTGTCGCAAGCTGCCCAATCCTTGGTCACATACACGACAACGTATGCCGAGTTCGACCCCGTCATGACACCCCCAATACCGTCCAATCCATGGATCACAGATGACGCCACCTTCTGGAATCTCAATTCCGACTAGTGAGTTTCTCTAATTCTTTAAATCCCCCCCCCCCACACACACTCAATTCCCGTCGTATGCTTTCATAACGCGTTTCGTGATTTTTTTTGCATGTCAGCCGTTTTTCCATGAAAAATTCTGCGTTTGACAATTTTTAATCTCCGAAAAAAAAAAACAGCTGTGACCTCCAACTGGCTGCACATTTTCGAATATAATTCTTCACGTACGTGGTTCTGTTCGCGACAGGATTTGTATTTATTTTTGAATTCTATGCAAATTCAGGTTTGACTTTATTTGTGTTCTCTGACGTGAAACCTATGCTAAATTTGTGCCTTTTATTGGCTTGGAAATGACGTTTGTGTGATGTTTTCAGAAGCTAAGATAAATTTGATTATCGAGCAAGTTCGAGGCCAAGAGTTATTCCAGTTGTTGAAAAACGTTTTTGTGTGGCACGATCTTCACTATTTTTGTTTCCATTAGCAATATATTCAATAATAGCTGCGTATGAATGTTACTTTTAAAACAATATTTATACGGTTTTGCATTTGTTTTCTTCTCCCCGCATTTATTCTAGTGTTTATGCTCAATTGAAATTTCGAATGTGATGTGATTTTTCATATCGTGGAGAATTCCTGAAAGCGGAAAAAAGTAGTAGAATTTGCGAAGAAAAAATTCAGTCGGTCTGTGCATTGAAATGAAAATAAATTCCCTATCATGAAATTTTTGCATCGTCTCCGTCAAAGGTGAAGAAATCGGATTTTTCTCAAGTCTATGATGAAGTTGTGCAAACTTGTTGGCCCATGTTTTCGCTCTTCCGCACCCAACAAAAAAGTAAATTAGAGAATGCATAAATTGCTTCCAAAATTAAAAAAAATAGGGTTTTCCAGTTGAAAATTTACGGTACTGGACTGTGTATGTATGGAATATTTACATTTTATGAATTTGTAAACGGTTATTCGAGGCGATCAAATATTTCAAACGATTCTCCGAGGTCTCATAGAGAGTCTGTCTGGGCCACTTTGATTGCTGACAGGTTAATTATTTATTTTATTTTTTTAGCCCCTGTTTCCGCTCTTCCGCACCCAACAAAAAAGAAAATGAGAGAAGGCATAAATTGCACCCAAAATTTAAAAAATAGGGTTTTCCACTTGAAAATTTACGGTACTGTACTGTGTATATATGGGATATTTACATTTTATAAATTTGCAAACAGTTATTCGAGTGCGATTAAATATTTCAAACGATTCTCCGAGGTCTCATAGAGAGTCTGTCTGGGCCACTTTGATTGCTGACAGGTTGAATATTATTTTTTATTTCTTTGTTTGCGTTCCAGTGTGGAAATTCCGACGGAGCGACGGGTCAAGCGGTGGGCGATCTCTAGCTGCGACGTGTTGAAGGACCCCACGGGACGCCGGGAATTCGAAAAGTACCTGCAAACCGAGTATTCCCACGAAAACATCCGGTTTTGGATGGCCTGCAACCGCCTCAAGAACTGCACGCCCACCTCACTCATCGGCATGCGCGCCAAAGAGATCTTCGAGTAAATCCATATTCTCATTCGTCCCCTGAAACCTTATCATCCTTCATCGTAAATGATGCTTTGCTCGGTCTATTACTGTATTACAGTATATATGATACCGCCTTATATGGAGTATACGAGGGTAAAAGAAAAATACGAAGCCGGGGGTTTCGTATATACGAGGTATTATTTCTCTTGCCTCAGAGAGAGGAAATATTTATAGAAGCTGCGCTCGGGATTTTCACCCAAAAATAAAAGAGAAAAAGAAGAAAAAAAAGAGTCCGTTGATGCGTTGGTGTTCCATTGAAATGTTCGCTCTTCTCGTCGTCACGAGGGATTTCTGCCGTGACGTCAGTTATGATTTGATCATAGGTTGAAAGCAGCTTTCGAAACCGTTTTTTTGTTGTTGTTGTTCTTGTTATGGGTGCTGTGTTCTCCGCATTCGAAAATTGCATTTGGAGCAGTCTCTATATATACCCACTTTATTGACTCGATATTTATAGAGCCGGAGTCGATCGGATGAGATTCATCTTTGAGTTTTGAGGAAATGCCTGATGGAAAGCTGATGGATATCTAGATTCTAGATTATTTTTAGCTGTAAATTTCCCATGAATTCCCCCCTGCCGAGATGGATTTATGGTATTAAAAATTTAACTCAGCCTGGGAGGTCCATTAAAAGATCGAACATGTGTTCTTTAAAAAAATTATTATTTCAACCTGTAATTGGCGAAAAAAATGCTGGAAAGGCGTAAATCGTGATTAATTTTTATTTTAGATATGTTTTCTTTCCAGGCGAAGTGAACTGGAGAGCAATTTAAAACAAAGTTGTTTTTATCGAAAGCATTTAGAGCAAGCAATGTTTTTTTTTTCTCTTCAAAGCATGTAAAATAATCACTCCGCAACCCTTTTTTTCATCATTGTCGTCTTCATTTTTCGAAATTGCCGGAAAAATATTCTTCAGAAATGCCACAACGAAGAAAAAGTCAAGCTTGTTCAATATATTTCTCCTCTGACTAAATTTACTGTGTCTTCTCAGGACACATGATTTGATTCAAAAAATTTATCTTGATGCAAGCTGAACAGGACGACGGAAATTATGAAATTTCTTTTTAAATTCTTCTGAACACTGTAACGGCATTTCTGGCAAAATTTCAGAAATTATACGGTGAAAGATTAAGAAATGCTGTATACTGCATTTGAAGAATCTTCCGAGTGAAAATTTTCATAAACATCGAACTTTTTTTTCGAGGCAAAATTGTTCTGGAATCGGAAATTTGTGTCACTATAGCTTTTCTGAACATGAAGGTTGTTCTCAGATTTTAATTTAAACTTCGAGAAGTCGCTCAAATCAGGACAGTCACATTGAAGAAAAATCTATTGCGAACAAACATGAGATTTTCTTTGAATTATTTGAGGAGTTTGACTCAGAAGCTTAGGTTTCCACTGAAGAGGATTTTTTGTATTTGAGTATTTGACTTATTTGAGGGGTATTCCAAGTGAAAATTATCAGAAAAATTGGTTCCTTGTTTCGGCTATAGTATTCTGATTATCCTAACATTGCAATTCGAACCTCGCGCGGTCACTCAATTGACACGTTGAAGAAGAATTTATTCTGAACAAACTCGAGAAATTCTTTTCAAACGATTCAGAGGATTTTTTACTGAGAAGCTCAGGTTTCCAATGAAGATCGAAAATAATTTTCACAATCTCAAAGTGCTGACAGAGCATCAGTTGTCTGCTAAGAATATTTATTTCTTATTTCATGAACGAGGCTTTCACCAGATGCTGGAAATTTGTCAAATTCAGTTGAGAATGTCATCAAACAATTAAAAAGAGATTTGAAGAAAGGTTTCTCAGATGAGCAAAAACAAGAAATAATTTATTTTAGCCGATGAACATTAGTCAAAAGTGTTATTATAGGATAAAATCCAACTTGTATTATGTACCAGATAATTTCAACTGACATATATGGTCTTTCCAGAATTTCAGATAACTATATAAACCTCCTCCCTTGCTTATGCTGAAGAAAGTTGTGCCAAATAAAAAAAATATTTCTGCAGACCACGGGTTTTGCGGAACAATACCAGTACCGTATATACCGTATTTACTCAAGTACCACATGCACCATTTTTCTCGAATTTCAAAAGAAAAAAGGGGTGCGCGTCATAAGCAGGTACAAATTTTCCAAGAAGTTTTAGGAATTTATGTGTACATTATACTTAATTATAATGGAGCAATTTGGAACAAATGTAACAAGAACACTTTTTTGTACTGAAAAAGTTGAAAATTGATCCAATTTTTGTTCAATTCATGTCTAAAGTCAAATTTTTGAATTTATTAATTCTCAACATTTTGTGGTTTTAGATTCACTAAAAATTGGGGTGCACGTCTTACTCCGGTATGAGATTTTAGCCAAATTTCCAAATGAAAAACCCCTGCTGAGCATTTGGTACTCATATGGTGGTCTCTAACTGGCTCAATTCTTTGTTCCACACCAACCACAGCGAGTTCCTGGCACACGGGGCCCCTTGCGAAGTGAACATCGACAGCAAGACCCTGGACTGGACGGTGAACATGCTGAAGTCCCACACGAACCCGCCGCGGATCATCTTCAACAAAGCTCAAATGCACGTCTTTCACCTGCTCACGAAAGACTGCTACCCGAGGTTCGTGCGTTCCGAGTACTACAAGAACCTCTTGGCTGCTGCTCAACAAGCCGGCCAGCGTCGCAGGTCAGCTTACTCCTCGTAATTATCTTTTCGCTTACTTATCGCTGTTTCCTATATATTCACTGTACTCCCCCGCCCCTCAACTTCCCTGTGATGCTAGGTAGTATAGTCATCGTTGTTTTATTTATTATTATTTCACTTTGCTGATTTGATGTCGAATAGCGGAAAGGAAAAAAAAAGAAACGGGGGAAGAGAGACGAGACGAGCGTTTTTTCTTGCTCAGTAGATTTTGGTGTTTGTGTGTGTGTGAGCATGTGTGTGTTGTTTTTTTTAATTTTTGCATTTCTCGAGCGGTTTAGCAGAGACGAGAAAAACCAATGGAAGGCAGGTCGTGGAAGAAAAGCTTCTTGTCAATTAACTTTAGGGCTGGACTATTTTTGCGAAATTTTGTTGCACCTCAGAGAGGAGAAGAAAAAAAATCACAACAGAGGGTTGAGGACAAAATTGGGGGAAATTCTGATGTTTTTTTCCCCCCTCAGCGCAGAAACAAATTTGTTGAAAAATAAAAAAGGGTCAGTTGAGCAACAGGCTTTTCTTGGATTAATCTCAACTTTGCCTTAGCCCACCTGGAAGGGTTTTCCTGACCTTCAAAAAAACTGAAAATGGGGGAGGATGCAAAAATAATCCGACACCCTCTGCCGTTTGAGGGTTAATAAATAGCAAAGAAACATCCAATGTAGATTTTACTCTACTCTTTCTACTGTCACCGCGAAATTTGCATAGATTGATCCCTTCCAGTCGTGAATTTCGATGCAGATTGTAGAGCGGAAACAAGTTCTGTTCACGACACTTTAATAATGAATGGGAAAAAAACAATGATAGCTGTTTTGATCTTTCAAGAACTGCATTGGAGAGTTGGTCGATGCTTATTTGAAAGCTTGAAATTGAAGTACAGTACTTTGAAGGTATACTCGCGGTTCCGTTAAAATAATTCATTACTAGGATAAAAGTACTTGAAGACATTTTCAAACTATAGCCAAGCAGAGTGCGTTGAGTAGACCGGGATGTATATAGTACTGTATAGTGAATGCAAAAATTTGAGGTTATTTGCAGTGTAAAAGTCAGCATTTTGGGCGTTTCAAAAATGTTTTGCAACGCATCCAGATGAAGTGCATCGGATTTCACGGTGAACGTGCGAGAAACGGTTTAAAAAAGACTTCGAATGTCGCTTGGGATCAAACATTTTAAAACGTGTTCTAATTGTTTTTCCTTTTCGGGAATTCCGCTCGAAACCGAATCAGTCCCTCGTTTGCCGATGCCTCAAACTGTAGAAGGAAGAGAAACGAATAAAGTATATTAAAATTAAAAACATTTCTGTAATTTGTTAGGTTGCATGAGAAAACTGGAACATTAATTCATAATTTGAAGGAAGTGCTCATTTGCCATGGTTTCCATTAAATTGTGAGGCATGCATTATAGTTACGATGCTGATCTGAAAACATCTACTTTGAGAAGTGCTGAGGGGGGGGGGGGGGATTTAGTTGCGATCAATAATTATACAAAGGACTTTCCATGTTTTAAAAAAGAGATTTAAAAAAACGGTTGACCTTGGCTATGCATGGATATATTGGAGAGGAAACCTGAGAGCTGGCAGAAATCAGCAGCATGACTTGGCATAAAATTCAATCATTTAAAAAGTGTCAGCCACTAGTCTACCTGAATTGAATCCAAATGCCATTGTAATGTACTGTACACAATTCAGCAGAATAATTGAAGACGGAAATTACATACTGTTTTGTACTCGTATTTCTCACTAGCTGCACATCACTTGCGTGGTAAATGTTGCGCATGCACGGAGCCACGTAAATGAAGTTCTCAACCGGTGCTCCGCGGAGCCCTTCTATAGGGATCAACCTTTAGTTCCTATACAAGGGTTGTCCCACTTGGGCGCGACCTTGGTTATTTATGGAGTATAAGGAAGACCATACAAAGAAAATATAGATCATGATGTTGTAAAGTTCTGGGATTTTGTTCAGATTCTTTAAATATTTTTTCTTCGATTTACTGCGTGATGATGAGTGAAAACTTTTCTTCAGCAGCCGCCTTCACAGCTGCCACATTGGCGGCTGTGAAGGCGACCGTTGATGAAAATTGCGGAATTACCTTGGCAGACCTGGAGGCAATCCTTGGTATTAATACCATGTTGATTTCAAGAATTCTGAGGGGAAAGCTGGGCTACCAAAAAAAAAAAAAAAAAAACTGCAGGAAGGGCTCCTCATCTTCTCAATGGAGAGCAAAACTCCTGCCAGGGTGAATTTTGCAAAACATCAAGAAAAATTGTCAAACAGGGCTGCTTTTTTATTGCCAAAGAATATTTTTTCCCTAAAGAATAATTTTTTTCTTTATACGCCATTTTCATTTCTATCCCGAGAACTTTTGTTATTAGAACCATTGTACGCAAATCTGAAAGGTTGAGAACTTCATCGGCCCCCTTTTTGAAAATGTAGTGCCATGTTGAACCCTGATTATTTTTCCAAGCTGAGCTCCTCCGCCGATGATAAAAGCCGAGGAATTTCTTTCTTCCTTTATTCCTCCACGACTTCACCCCGCCAGAATGTTCGGATTCGGCCCGTCTTCCAAAAAGAAAACGTCCGGAGTGGACGGCGGCGGCAGCAGCAGCAGCAGCGGTGGCCCAGGAGGAAGCAGCGGAGGCGGCGTTGGTGGGTCTTTATCAGCCGGAGGAAGCAGCGGCGCCGGTGCCGCCGCCGCTGCCGCCGCCGGCACCTCATCATCCGCCGTCACATCCTCAGCAGCATCCGCCGGACTCTCGCGCAATTCAAGCGACAAGACGCTCAAGGGCTCGGCAGTGGCGGCCTCGTCGAGCGCCGCGGGCATCGGCTGCATCGCGTCCATCATCGAGCAGGACAGGCGCCTGTCCCACTCCCACAGCACCTCTGATCTCCGGAAAATCGATGCCTCCGCGTCTCTGGGTGAGTTGTCGGGAGTGTTGAGTACAGTATATATACAGTACAGTACAGTACAGTTGCCCTCAACCTCCCCCGAAAACCCCATCATCCCGTATCCCACCGTCGTCGTCGTCGTCGTCGTCGTTCCTTCCGTGTGTCTTCTTCCTTCTGCGTATTTCCTCTTCAGCCTCTCTCTCTCTCTCTCTCTCGCGGTCTCTTTCTCTGTCTCTCGCTCTCTCAACCCGCTCCTTATAACCTCCTGGTTTATTATATTTTTTCTTTGCGCCGTGTGCCTTCCCCCCCCCCCCCTGCGGCTATGCCACCGACTCAGGTTGCCTATATACAATACCGCCCACACCCACCTCTGGGTTGAGTGCTCAACTGAGCGGCGCCCAACTCAGGGCCACGGCAAACTGAGCGCCAAAAAAAAAAAAAAGAAAAGATGATGATTGGTACATTATGTGCAGTTTTTTTTTGCGGTTGATGGATGTTAGTGAGAAGTTCATGTTAGTGAGAAGATTAATGTGAAGTTGTATTATACAGTTGAACCTCTCTAAGTCAAATTTCAAGGGACCTGCAAAAAAATTCGACTTAGGGAGGTAAGGAATTTTATGAGTTGGAACTGCAATACAAAGCCATTTTTTCTGGAAAACTTGGAATGAATTTAAATGGATATATTCTAAAACTTAAATGGCTTCTTGAATGAGTTGAAAGGCTGCTGAACTTGGAGGCAGGGGTTTATTTTCCCAATTAAGTCTTTCACTTCCTTTAAAACACATATGTTTCTGTTTTTTTTTTGTTCTTTTTTTCAAGAAAATAATGGCCAACAGGCCAAAGAAAATTCAACTTACAGAGGTTTGAGTGGGGAAAAGCCTTTGACTTAGGGAGGGTTTTTATGTATTGTTTCTCCATCGATGGAAAGGTTTACGAGCACATGAGAAAAAAAAAGGTTTGCTTTTGGGAACAGGGATTCTGGCAACCACGAATTTTGCAGTAGAATTGGCAGGTCATTTCAGCGAATGCTCAGTTAGTTGTGTGGCGCTCAGTTGGGCTTGGCGCTCACTTGACCCCCGCACCTGCGCCACGCCCCCATATTTGTTCGTCGTCGTCGTCGTCGGTGTGTTGTTGTAGTAGTTGTTTTTTAGTTTTTCTCTCCATTTTCCTTGTCTATATATATATATATATATATATACGTCTCTCCCACGTCTTCCCTCCTTCTGTTTTTCCCGTTTCGTTCTCCCATATATGTACTGTATATGCGCTGCAACTCATATATAGCTGATGGTGCTCGTTCCTCCCTCAGCGTTTCAGCGACCAACTTTTGTTGTTGTAGCAAAATCATACCCTGGAGGTTCCTGTTTGTTTGCTTTTCGATGTCAAATTTCATTTATGTTTGAAGGGGAGTAGTCAGACCGTCAATTTCGGTAGAACTCTGATTATTCTGGTTGGGTTTTGAGTGGACATTCGATTAGGTATACAGAATACTCAAATTTCAAATTAATGTAGTGAGAGGTTCCACATGACGTGGCATAGCTTAAATTTAAATCAAAGCCACGGGTTTCTTTTTCGTTAGACGACTACTTGTGTATGCAAGTTGATTTCGAATCATATAAGGTCTTCGGAAAATGTGCTATTTAAATTTTCGTTATGTTCATGTGATTTTAACAGGATAATTTGTTTATGGCTGATATCTGGTTTATTCAGGTGTTTATATACGAGTAAGCATTTAACGTCACTCGGTTAGGTTAAGGTGCGTGGAAAAAGTCCGATTGCGTTTCATAAATTTTTCGTTTTCTAAGAGTTGGAACCCTCAATTTTTCTCTGGAATATATCGTAAACATTTACGAATTTGTCTCTGTTTAAAGTTTTTTTTGACAATTTTTGTCCGAGGATTGTCTTTCGAGAATTGATTTCCACTCATATGTGTGAAAATTACCTGTGGGTTAATTGATTCAGAAAGACTTGACTGAAAACTTGAAAGCTCCTATATAGTGGCATCTGTGGAATGTTGATTGATGATTTCACGTGTGACCACGATTGAAAAATCTCTTTCGGCTATTTGAACGAAAACAGGAGGTCATGATCACAGATGATAGATTTTATCTTTTATTGTCCGTCTTGGTTCAAATTTTGAAGAATATTACATTAAACAGTCGCCGATAATCTACGAAATACTTCACTTTACAGCTTTCCAGTTCGTATTAAGGTTTTTTTTGAAATTTCAAGCTTAAAATTTGGAGTAAAAACGACGATATTGTGATTTTGAAAATTACAGATGAAATGCGGCCTGTACACTGAAGAAATCTGTAGATTCCAAAAAATCGATCACAAAATTGTTTAATATTTCTGGGGTAAAAATCTTCGGTTAGTATAACGACTCAAAATACTGTATGCATCTAAGTGGGAATTGAGCAAAAGCTGAGATGAATTTTGTTTTGGTTTAGAAAACATCTCATTACTTTGGATATAGGCCGCAAATTTTAGATTGCGGTGTAGCCTATGTTCAATATCGAATATTCTGACTAATTTCTAATTCAGGCCACGGCAAATTTTTCCGTCTTTTTTTTTAATTACGCGCGAAAATGAGATATATTTCGTTTTTTTATTATTATTTTAAACTAAGAAATACTGGCGATGTATTCTTCTATACCTCCAATTATTGGCAACTCTCGCTTTAAGGATCTTCGCAGCTTTAAAATTCTGAGACTCGTATATAAGGATTTGTTAAGTGTGTTTTGCGATAGGTTGGATGAGGCTTTTGTTCTGCTAGTGTCATATTTATATTTACTTTTTATTGTGGCTCATGTATGAGTTTTTTTTTTGTGTAGGAAGACTCTCAACTTTTCTTCTTTTGCCATTCTGCGAGCAACGCAGTTTTAGCGCGGGTTTTTCTCATTACATTTTTTGGGCTGTCGACTTCACCTTTCATTCTTTCTTTTCTGTCATCCCAGCATCACAATCTTGTTTTTAGGTCAACCACTGTATTTATGCAAGTACAGTATGTGGGCCACACTTCTTTTCCCCCACGAAAAGTTGCTCACAAAAACCCAGATGGCACCGGTAGTCGAGGGCACTCAAATCTTGGTAGTACCTTATTATATCTGTCTTTTTTTTTCAATTCTGGTCAATGAGATTAAATTACGTCTGAAATTTCAAGAGACGGATTTTGTTTAAATTTAAATTTAATTTTTCCTTGCAACTGTCCACTTTTTTCGTCAGGCCGTAAGCTTGGAACCAGTCCGTTATTTCTCAATTTCTGGTCATTCTCTAGAAAATTAGCATGATTCTCACGTGTATGAGCCGCACTTTTTGCCAAGATTTTAATTTATATACTAGATTATGCATAATTTACTGTTTCTTCTACTGAGCGAAGTGCGAGGAAGAAGGGAGAAAATGGAAGAATTTCGTGTGATGGCACTTCTAAAGTATGAATTGATTTGTGATGAGCTGTCGACTTGCACAAATGTATTTTTTCTTTAGAAACCCAAGATGCCGATGACATTTGTAGGTTTGCGAGATTATGCCTCTGTCGGGTACGACTGGCGTTTTTCTTCCTTATTTCTCACTTTAATTGATATCAATTTGAAACGTAATATTGTTTTGGAATACATTTTCTGAGTGAGAAAGAGCTGTATACAAATGTTGGTATACTTGATTAGAATTGATTAGTGTGGCTCAAAGCAAAATTTACTCTGGAGGAGAGGTTTCGATTTCTGAGATTTTTTTTTTTGTGTAGTCCAGCTGTTCCGCCAGAATTTTTGAAAGTATACAGTATTACGGCATGTATCACACAGATCTTCTCGAGAACTCAGTGAAAATTTTCATAAACTGTTGCCTTCACGTACTTTATTTTTATTGTTATTTCAAGTAGCTATTTTTGGTCATCTCGCACAAATTGGTCATCTCTGACAAAAATTGGGATATTTTGGTTATTTTCACCCAATATAATGCATATTGGTGGGTTACATCATCGCCACGTTGTGAGAAACAAGATTGAGCTTGCCTTTTCTAAAATATAGAACTCTGCTTTATTTTCACGAATTCACGTTTTGAGTCCGTATAATGTATGTCGAGGCGTCCGCATGTTAGGGTCTCACCATCACTATGTTCGATGAGGCGTCCGTTATCCGGGGTGACAGTCAACCCCCGTCTAACATACTTAATTCGTGTAACGGATAAGTCTGTTAGACGGAAAGTCCTTTATATAGACGTATGCAATCATATAAAAAATTAAAAATTTCAATTTTCAACAGGAATTTTAAACCAAAAGAAGTCTGTTTGGCGGATTTTGTTTCTTGCTGGGCGGGAGGAAAAACTGCCAGCTGCAGAGCTGGTCTGTTAGGCGAAGATCCCTTACAACGGAAGGTCTGTTAGGCGGGAGGGGGTACTATATATCACTGATGGACATGACAGAGGACGGATTCCATCTGCTCGGATTAATCATCATCGTTTATTCTTTTAAGAAAAAAACAAAAAACTCTGCTTCTTATTGTGTTGCCCCATGCAGGTTGTTGAGGAGAAAACGATAAAAACTACAAACTACCTCAATAAAAAGTACAAATAATTGAATTTTAAGCATCTCAGTCTGTCCTAAACTCTCAACAACAATTATCCTTTTATTCCTGGTGATTTATGTGCACAAATCTATGTTACTCCTGATGTGCTATTATTCGAATCCATCTTGTACATTGTATATTCTTATTCTTTGCATTCAGAACTTGATCATAAAATAAATTTTTGAAAAACTATAGGAACATATATTCAAGGAAACCCCCTTGAATATCTGTTCTCGGTCTTAAAAGGCTGATGGCCTGCATTTTTTATTTTTATTATTTTGTGATCCTTGATCACACAGGTGGGCTGCGAGTCAAGTGTAGCAAGATGATGCATCGGTCGTCCATTCCGAAACTCGATGCTTTGCCGCGGTAGTGATGCGAGCCCCTCCTCCTCATCTTCACCCCATACGGAAAAAAAAACAAAGCACAAAATCCACCAGCATTCCTTTAAAATTTTGATGCCATTACTGTATTTTTTACCTGTTCCCCTGGCTACCAAAAAAAAAATTGTTGCTACAGTTTCACCCGGTTCGGAAGAAAAAAAAATTAAAGAAAGCGAGTCCTTTTTTCGGGAATCAAAAAAGAAGAATTTTAAAGAGACGAGAGAGAAGAATGGAGGCTCGGATGATGATGATGATGATGATGAGGCAAGCAGCTGAGCAGTGACCGAGAGCGAAAAATGATAAGAGGGTAAATGAGTTGCTTCCATTGCGTGTTTTCGTTTGGTTGGTTTTTTTCTTTTTTAATCTGTGGCTTTTGGATCAAGCGTTATTTATTATTATTATTATTATTACCTATTAACTCCGTATACACGTTTTTGGCCCGTAGAATATGAGACTGACTTGACTGGCGTAAAACGGCTTTTTTATTGTACTGCTGTACATTTTTTTCGCGCTACATTTTTTTTTTTTTTAACCGGTCTTGGCATCTTCTCTTGTGGCTTTCCTGTCAATTCCTGCTTTTCCCCGAAACCCATATTCACACATTTTTGCTGTTCGTGTGTGTAGGAAGTCTTTTTTTTTTTGAATCGTCGAAACGGAATTGGAGGCTGTAGCTTTGCACACAAAGCTGCTGCGAATATTTTTGTGGGTGATTAATTAGGAGACACGTGTTGTTAGTCGTGATTAATTAGCAGAGTAAGCCTTCGTAATGAGGGACATTTTCCATGAGACAGAGCTGGAAATAATTCAGTTTCTTGTCTAGGTCTTGGGCTGAATCGTTCCTCATGCATTTCAATGAGTCTGTGCTTTAGTATCAAATCGGAAGAAAAAAAAAAGGGGAGTGGGGATTGGTTTTGATGCTGGGAAATTGTCTTGATCCACATGAGATGAAAAAAAGGATAACCTGATGGGTTTTATTTTTCAGGTCCTTACATTGGTCTTTTTTTCTCCTCTTTACCACTGACACAGTAACTTCAGCATTTTATTGTTCCTTCGTTGTTTTTGATGCGGATTTTAAGGATTGTTCAATGCCCTGTAAAATAAAATAAGCAATGACTTGTTTGTTTAGATTTAAAATCACGTGTGAATGTTATTTGAAGACGTAATTATTTTACATTAATGTGGAGATGAATCGATAAAAACTGTTTTTATGGAAAACTCGTGAAACTGATTTTCAAGATTTGTTCAAATTCTTGAAAGCATTAGACTTCTGAAGTCCTGACTCGCTGATCGCAAAGCGTAAACACTCGAAGTATTTTTTTTAGAATTGTTCTCTTTCGTTTTCTTCAGCATCTCACTCATATAACGCATGACAGCACAAATACTAAACTAGCAACATCTTGAAATTGATGGTCTTGAAATTGTTCTCGACTTTATCTTTTGTCTTCAGAAACTACGTTTGAAATACGATTGAAATGTTCACTTTTCTCGAGCGTAAAGTGCAATCATCCCTTTCGAATCACGAAACATTTTGTTCCGGCAACAGAAAATAATCTGCTTTTTCTGACGTTTTTAGGTTGAAGAACTAGTTTCTGATGAGGTTTTGCTTGCTTTCCTTGAACTTGAAAAGCAAATATTGTTTTAACCCCAGGGAAAATATTCTCCACACGGAAAAACGTGGCTGGAAAGAATAATTCAGGAATGGAACACACTTATTTTATCCTCAACGAAAAATTTGATTTTTGGATCAATATTCATCGGTAATCTGAGTAATTTTTTTTCGAATCTCGTATACAAGTCTTCGTTTGAAACGAAGATCAGGTTTTTCAAGTTGAACATTCATATGTGTATTTTGAGTTTGGTTATATACTGTATCCTGGGAAGGATAACTTCTCGTTGAATATTTCAATTCGTATTTTGAAAGATCAAAAAGCATGAATAAAAAAAGATGAAGTTTTTTAAAAACAAAAGTCGTTGGACGGAACGTATGCCAGGAAAAAGGAGCGAAGTGCGAGCTTAAATACCAATAATAAAGAATAATTCAGGTTTAGTGAACTTTATTGAAAATAAAAGCTCTCATTTTTAGGATTATCTTATTCATCAGTAGATTCGAGTGATTTATCTTCAAATACTCTGTATATTTTGCGAGGTTACTGTACTGTAAAAGTTTCCAGAAAAAAAAACTTTTGAAAATACAGTACTCCGTATTATGAAGTTTTGTCTATACGAAAAAATAATCTTCAAGCTTGTTGAATTTGCATTTTACGTTGCATTCGTTTTAGATCAAAAATTTGAGTCAGCATAACTCTATCAATGCGTGTAAATCGAAAAAATTAAAGCTTCGGTGAGAGACATTTTAATTTCCTGACTGACCGTTTCGTGCAATCGATTTAATCAGCGACGAGTTACCGTGTAATTAGTGATGATGATGATGATCATGAGTGATGATAAAACCGCGGTTCGTATAACTTCTGGCGGAAATCAGAATAACAAAGGAAAAGAGAGGAAAAAAATACGAACAAAATTCTTGAAAAATGCGAGATTCGATTTGCAGGCAGCGACGACGTGTGTCCGTGGGACGAAACGGCGTTGTCGGCGCCGCCGCCACCGCCGCCGCCAGCAGCGGCTCATCCGACGGATGGGAATGTTAAGAAGCCGCCCGTGCTGCGTGCACTGACTACCGACGCGACGGCGGCGGACAAACGGCCGCCGGCCGTCCAGCTGTCCCGCAGCACGGACGTGTGTCCCTGGGACGATTCCCAGCCTGGCCCCACGCCGGGTTCCGCAGGTTCGAACCCCCCGCACGCGCATCCCAGCAGATCGTAAATTAGTGAAAGAGCAAGACAGAGAGAGAGAGAACGAGAGAGATAGGCACACACTTGTACACAATCGTAGACTGAGAGAGATAATGATTATCATGATGATGATGATGGGTTAGTTCTCTGCGCCGTAAAAAAAAAAAAGAAAGAAGAAAAGCTAATAGTTTCGAAAGTTTCCGTCTTTCTGCATTTTCATTTTTTTTTTTGCAGTTCTGGACAACACATTTAGGACTCAAGTTGCTGAAAATGCCGCGAATTTTGAGGCACTTCCAAAATAATTTTTCGGAACATTTTTGAAATCACGAAAAGCATAGAGTTTCGTGCGAGATCCGAGAAAAAGTAATAACTTTCAATGCCTGAAATGTTGATCTATTGTAAATTCATGGGTATCAATTTTGTGCGGAAAATTTACTAAAAAATTTACTTGCGGAAATACATTGAAATTGCGCCAATGTGTTGTTCCGGATATTGCTTGAATCATGCAAAAATAAGTTGTTGCTGTTATCCGAATATATTCGTCTTCTTCTTCACTGCAATGTATAGACGAGTTCATAAATTCAAATCAAAACTGAACGGATTCTCTTTCTGATTTTGTTTGAGTTTTCGTGTGCTCGTCAATTGGATATTATTAACCCAGACGCACATTAAACTTGCTATGACCCAATGTCCAATAACATTTATGTACCAATAAAATACTGTATTTTACTGCACACGTACCATAAAAATGCCAGCATTATTGCGACTATACCAGCGACATCTACACTCACGCCGTATCTTTAAAAATATATGTCGGGCTTGGCGCTGCTCTCAATCGTTCTAATTTTCCAAATGATCCCATAACAAAACGGTACTTTTTCTTCCGCAATAATTGTGGACGTATAGAAAGCCGGAAACTTTCAATTTTTTATGTTTTTCGGAACCAGCATAGGGTCCCGCAGCAATAAATGAAAAAAAAGAATTACTCCAAGGCAAGAAAACTCAGGGCACGATTTTTATTTTGATTCCGAAACAAATTCAGGAAGCTGCTCCTCATTTTTAAATCTTATTCTATTTTTGAACCTTTGTTTCTGGAGTAACGAAGGAAAAACTGTAATATTATTTAGCTGCTTTACGAAGAAGCGGCTTCCTGAATGTTTTGCACAAGCACGTGTCTCGACTGGCCTGATGCAATGTCAATAATCCAGAGGTTTTTAGTCTCGAAAATATGAGCAAAAAAATTGATGCATTCAAGTACAGTATTAGATGACCTGAAACCGTCGTAGGATTCGGAAACCTTAGTGCGCGATGAGCAGTATTAGGTACTGTATTAGTTTTTGCAAGGACCATGTATACTGAGAACGTCAGACAAAAGAAGGGAAATTCTCGCGAAAGATTTAAAAGCTGCATTTTTAGCTGATTGGGAATAGACACGCGAGAAAAAGCACCTGGCAAGCAAACATGGCATGTGTAGTCATCTGCACAGAAGAAAAAAAAGAAGAAGCGTTGATCTGCGAAAAGTCGAAATAAGACGAAGTATCTGTGAATCGACCATCGAATTCGGGTTTCGAAGCTTTCATTCTACTGGAAAAAAATTAATCCAATTGTTTCTTCTGATTAAATTGGCACGAGTTTTGCGAATGGAATTTGCGACGATTCCTTTTTTTATATATAAATTTTGCACTGCATGGGAATGACCTGGTTATGGATAATGATTTAATGAATGAATGTACGATTATCTGCATGAAATGACTTTCGTCTCGTCAGGCTTGCAACCGGTTTTCTTGACTTGAATGCGACTTTTTTTTTTAAAGGGGATTTCAAATCGTTTAGAAAGGAATATTAAAGAATGTGAGCTCGAATTTTGATGATTCCAGTAGAATATGACTGATGGCAAACATTTTATTAATTTTGCTGCATTTTAAAATGGAATTTTGAGGTCGATTGCTTATTTTGTAATATGGCTGGATATATTTAGAATTTTCAGTGGCTTGGGTAATTTATTTTTTTGGTGCAGAAATAGTTTTCCTCGATATGATTAGCGTGGAATTTAACAAAAATAGTTTAAGTTGAGTGAAATTTTCAGAAGCAAACTTGAAAATTAAGCTTGAATTTTGGAGGCAGAACAATATCACGATGCTAAAAAAAAAAAAAAAAAGCTGCGTGTTGTGCGGTGAAATCGGTCGATTGATTTTTCCTCTCCTAATGTATTTTCTCTTTTTCTCCTGCCTCTTTCATTTCATTCTTCGTCTCTTCCTCTTCCATTTCTTTCCTCCTCTGGTGTCTTTTATTTTTTTTTTCGGTCTCGGTCATCATTATTCTGGCTTTGTTGTCACGGCGGCGCATGTGACGGGACCCACGCAAAAACAAAAACAAAACAAAAAAAACGAAACAAAAAATGTGTTACACAAACGGCAGGACCCGCGCAGACGGAAGTGTGTCCGTGGGACACCCACGACGGCGACGGACATTCGACGGCGACTCCGGCGACGACGGGGGCCGTCTACAGCGCGTCCTGCATCGAAATGCAGCACCTCGCCAGTGGCTCTGCTTCTCTGCCCAAGAGTGCCCAGTCGCCATGTAAGTCGGGGTTTTCTTCCACCCCCTCGTTTTGTACCATGTGTTATAGACAAGGTTGTTATCACTGATGTGTTTTCATAGTATCTTCTACAGTTTTATCCTCTATACCTCAAATTTGAATGTTAAACCTTATGAAGGGTTGATAGAACTGTTGCAAAAAAATTAATGATAGAGTGAAATTTGACACTCTAAACTTGAATACCCAAATTCTTGTCTTTACTTTATCTCTGTGTGAACCAAGGACAACCTTGGTTCACACACACATTTTCCGGAAGCCTCCAAGGCTGTTTTACTATTGCTAAAATCCTGGTTCTGTTATTTGTCCTTGGAGGACAGTTTTCTTGGTTTCTGAGTCCATCTAAATCCTCCACTCTTCTCTGAGCTGTCATACAAGACACTCCAGCATTTTGTGAATATTGTGTGTGTTGACTGTGTTCTTGAATTACAACAACCTTAAAATAGGGTGAAATTTCACCCTGGTCATAGCCCAACCAAATTCTGTTATTTTATTCATTCTGATCTAAAATCAAATTCTACTCAACTCAAATTATTTCTTAAACATCTATATTGGCAAGGATTTATTCCTGACAAAAACCTTGTGAAGATTAAATATTATATGTTAAGCTAGTCAAGTGCAGAGAACAATATCAGATATGAGAATTATTCCAGCTATCCAGTTGAAGCAAGAGTTTGCTGAGTAGTTGTCATTCCTTGTGAAATACACCTTATCCTTTAACCAGGAATTCCAAAAAGGAATTCTGGCTCCTGTCCTGGGCTCATTGTCTTTTATTTATGCGCTTCTACGCTTCTGATCCAGTTTGACACTAACTTATATTGAGGCAACATCTGTCCCCACTACCATGCCAGGCATTTTTCTGTTTTCCTGTATTTAAAATACAATATATGACAAATATTATATTTTTAGGAAATTTCATTTAATTTGATGCGCTATATAGGAGAATGTGTGATTTAATTCTGACCAATGCAATTTATGAGGGCTGTCCCACTTGAGTGCAGCCTTGGTTATTTCTGGAGCAGGTTTGACTGTGAAAAAAATTATGACATAGCCCATGATATATTCTAAGGTTTTGGAATTTTTTCCAGATTAAAAAAAAGTTTTTCAATTTACTGCATGATATAATAAGTGCAAACTTTTCAGCTATGGCCAGAGTTCTCTACTCCTATTGTCACAGAGTGCTGAAAATTTGTCAGCACAGCTGAAAATTTAAATTGTTGTGTTGTTGTAACTCTTATGTAAAACTTATAAAAGAACTTGGTTCAAACAACAACAAAATTCAGTTGTTTAGCTGGCCTGACAATTTTTAGCACTTGGCTTTGGGGGAGAACGCTGCTGGCCGTAACTGGAAAGTTTTCACTCATCATGCAGTAAATTAAATTTTCTTTTTTAAATCGAAAAAATCCGATTGTGCATTATTTGACGATTTCTCAGGCGTCTTGTGTTGGGCGGCATTTTATGTTCGGATGCATACTGTACTGTGAGACTCAATCATTTATTTTATTTATTTTTTTACAAAAAATTGTCTTTGGGATCATAATTTGTCACGTATTTGAGAATTGCTTCTGGTGGACGTACAGAATTATTTTAAATACAAGCAAATGCGGTGAATCCTGAATATAACGTGAGGAATTATTAGGCTTGTGTTTCATGTTGGAGAAATTCGAGATTTAGTCAAGTATTACTGATCGAAAGTGCAAAATTTATTTTTATTTCACATATTTTTGGTATGCTTGAAACAACGATTCTAGAAGGAATGCGATGGTTTTCATATGTAATAATACAAGCTTCAGGACTTTGAACAGACTACGGTCAACGAGATCAGCAGCTTTCATCAGCAATTAAGCAAAATAGTCTTCATAAAAAAGTAATTATCGAGTACGCAAGTGAGTAATGCAACTTCGACGCGTGTCTTTTATACTTTATTTCTTTGTTTTTTTCTGATTGTCCATGTTCATGAAAATTTCCCCAAAATACTCCAGAATAGGCGGGCTTTTTAATGGATCTTGTAAACAGTATTTGGAAACCTTCGACAGTATCGAATCTGAATCTAGATGGCACAAAAAATTAAAGAAGGTCTCGTTCAAACGTGTTCGAACTTTTTCTCAAATTAAATGTTAAAATAATAGCCTCATTGAATCATCAGCAGTTACTATAACGTGAAGATAATTGAATTCGGAGGACGGGTTCGCGTGTCAGGCATTGGTTGTATTCGAAGAGAAATACAGTAACTAATAGTTTATTCCCTACTTTGTTCGGTACACGTTTTAGTAATTTTTCCTGTAGTACATCGACTCATCAAATTGAATATACCGGTTCAAGAATGTAGAGTGTTTTCATTCCAAAATTTCACCTTGACAAGATTCATTCTTCCTGTTTTCCAAGGTATATTTTGCACCTGTTATAATATTGATAACTTGCATGGAATGTATGATATATGAGAAGTACTATATATATACGCATGTCAAGAGAAAGGAAAGGCAGAATTATTTTATTTTCCACCGCGAAATTTCCATTTTAGCAGCGAAAGAATCAATTTTAGATTAGCACTTAGTTTTTCTTTTCGAGCTTGATGATTTATTCTGTAATATGCAATATAGCTCCATCAGAAAGACAGAAAAAAAAATCTTGAATTGATATTCACGAAAGCAGTTAAAACAATCTCTGAATAAGTCAATTGTGAAGCAATGAATTCGTATTTTTCAAATGCTTTATAGTGAGCGTCAAGCAATTTAGTTCTCGTACAAAACTGTCTTGCTACAAAGATTATTCACTTGTCTTTTCAGGTTTAATTGATAAACTTGGATAATGGAACGTGACTTCATTCAATTTTAATGATTTCCATGCAGGTGATCAAAAGATCAAGTTGATGAGCTACAAAAAAGGAATAAAAGCAGAAATAGCAAAGATTATTACAGATTATAATGGAAATTCTAGTTTGGGACGCATGTTGCATAAGGATGCCAGTTTTTGGCATGTTACGTGTTTTATTTTGAAAGCACGTTCAATCCAATTTTGTGTTATACTCTAAGCACAAATATTCCACTAAAATTCCAGGTGTGAAGCTTGAAACAAGTTCTTAGTTCGATTTAAATTCCATCACGGCCTAATTTTTTTTAAACTTGTCAATTTGATAACGCATAAAAAGGCCTCATTCGAAAAAAATGGAATATTTTCTTCATTTGAGCCTGAATTCAGGTTTTGTTCTTTTTTGTAGCATTATAAGTACTTCACCTTACTTCAGTACTGTTGAATGATAAAATATTCTGGTGCTTCCATTATATATGCATATATGATTTGGATTAGCATGGATGAGTCTCGCCATTACAAAAATTGGCTTTCTACCTCGAAATAAATTAAAAAAAAAAAAAGCTTCTTGGAAGATACATTTCCGGATTTATTTTCCCTGTCATGTATTTCAAAGCAATACGTATATATAAGACCTCGTGGCGAAAGGAAACGTCGTAAATTTTGTTGATGCTTACTGATGGACCCTCGGGATCCCTCGGAGACCCTCGATCCAGCAGTTCTATACCCATGAGGCCCGGGTTCTCGCATTATTAAAACGTCACGACGAAGCCGCGGTGAAATGGGGAAACCCACGCATGAAGTCGTCGAAGACGGGGGTTGGAATAAAAAGAAAAAAAAGGGGGGGGTGGGGAAGAAGAAGAAGAATCATACATTTTGCATGCAATTTCACGTCTTGCATAGTTCATGACGACTCCCCCCTTTTTGGCGCTTTCTGCGGTGTGTTTTTGATTTCCGAATTACTGATGATGGCGAATAAAAAGGGATCCCTTCCCCGCGGGCGGTGGGTTCCCATGGCTGGTGTTGTCGGAAGCCCATCAGTCACCACCTGGTGTTGTTGAGCTGTGCATCGTTTCCTTCCCTG